ATTTGAGTGGAATGCATACACATATCCATGCAGGCTGGCCCGAGTCGATTTCACCACACACCCGAAATCCCCCGAGTTCCACCATTCCCCTTTCCTCCCAAGTCAGCGCCCCTTTCTTACTCAGTTGCCTTTCTGTCTATCCAGCTCGGTATGTGTGATGAAATGCTTGCCATTTCGATTATTCTAGGCCGGATCGTCCTCGCCATATCCTAATACTCTTCGAAGGCGAATGAACAGGTCATGGTCAACATCACTGCTCTCAACTTCTCGTGTATGGTTTTGAAGGTCGTTGACCTCTCTAGATGCCTTTGACTCAGGCATCATTGTGTTTTTCTCAACGCAGTTCGACTGATCAAGTGATTGATCGTACTGATGCGAAAAAATTCCAGAGCCAGATGGCAACAGCAAGGACAATGAGGGGTCTGCCAGTCCTGTAAGATTACATCCCAGCAACGTAACTTGATGTTGCCACTCATTTCCAAATTCGAGCCAGTTTGGTTGATCATACATCTCCTGAGCCCTGAAGCCAGCAGATGATTGATCATGATTCAGGACTTTGATGCGTTTGATTGGTGGCTCTTCAGTATGCTGACATCGCTGTTGACTGTCCCCTTTACGCTTCGTGGCCGGCCTGAGTTCACTGCTAAGACCCTCTGTTGTTGTCTGGGCGCGTAGTTGAGCTCTCTCCTTGACTGTTCTGATCAACACCTCGAGAATTTCTTTGTTGTGTCTTGTCTGCATGGCAATCTCACTTATTTTTTCTTCAGGTACCTCCGAGTCAGTTCCCTGACGTTTTTTGGTGATTGCCCTGAGCTTGATGTTTCGCGCATCGTTTAGTCCTTTGTTGACTACCTTCGTCTATTTTTGTCTCGTTGTTAGAGATTATTGTTCATTTATGATGTGCTGAAATCCATTGTGTGCTAAGGTCCGAAGTTTTCAGAGAAACGAATGAGTGGCTTACTCGCAGTTCATGGACTGGAGCCGCAACCAGACGGTTTAGAAAGTTCCCGGCCATCAAGCTGTGGACGATCGACTTGGACATCTAAGCAGATGTTTTGCCGTGAATGTTACTTAGCATGTAGTCTATATACCACAAGCTTTAAATCACACTGGGACGTATGAACTCACTCTGCAGCCCTCTTTCACAAACTCAAACCTCTCCTAGAAAGTTCCGAGTTTCTCATACTGCCACGAACTTGTCCACATTGGGATTCCTACAACCCCATCTTGCGCATTTCGGATAGAAAACTAAAAAATCACGTTAGCGATGTTCTCTATCTTACTTCTCTCTCTTTGTCTGAGAGAAGAAATAGAATCGAAGTCATGGAGGCTCCTACTAGCAGATCCCATGCCAATAATTCCACCTCAAGATTGCTAAGTGCCTTCACTCGTTTTGCATGTACGGTTTCTCCAGCCTGGAGTCCCGTACATTCCTCAGCATCTCCGTTAATCGTCTTTCCACTGCCCTCTCGGATGCAGTCGATCGCATCAGAGAAGTCCAAAATCGATTCGAAAAGTTCCCTAACTAGCTCCCTTTGTGTTTGCTTGTCTTCCGGGAAATCTTTGCATACAGGGACGCAAGTTTTTCCCCGTTTATCATTCATTGATTTGTATTTCCTTGCAAGTTCTTGGTAATGGTTGAAGTCCCTGACTATTCCTGACCAAACGTGATCTTTCTGCTTGAGAAGTTCTATGATGTTCGATTCTTGTTTCTCCGTGGTGCATGCTTCTGCGGCCCCCGAGATTCTGTTTTGCAGCTCTTCGTTACAGATGCCAGTATCCTGCAACGGCTCAACAGTGTCTTTTTCAAGGTGACGCTCATCGGGTAGCGCTTGTCCCAGCTCTAGAAGTTGGATTGCCTCGACCTGAGTAGGGTACTTGGTAGATGGGGCTTCCATGTCCACAGAATGCCTGTAAACTTGCGAGTCGAACCACAACGTCAGGTCCTGGCTGGAAATTACAGTTTGCCAATCATGATCTGCTGACATGATGCGGGATAGAAAGAAGGCCTTGGAGTTTAGTGTTTATTAGCTTCTAAGGATGATGCGTTAGGCCGCTTTCATATAGCCAATAATCGTACATGGGTTATGTGGGGACAATATAGAACAGAAGTGAGAGTCACTCACCAATGAACGTAGTTCTCTGTATTTGACTTAAACAGTCCAAGACCCAGTCTATATTGCTCAAGATGTCGTTTCGATCAATGGCTCATTTAAGGGAGAGTTTGGTTGGGCACCTGGTAGAGATCTGCTCCTTCATTATAGGAAAAGCTTATCTGGTACTGGAATCCAGGATGTCGTGGGGTTTGCATATGAATTCTACTCGCCGAGGAAGATGAGTGGGCTCAAGACAAACAAGAGTCAAATTGGACAGGATGTAAACCATTACAGAGAACAATGATACTAAGACGAGAATGAAGTCATTCATTCCAATACATATGCAGTATGAGAGAGATTAACTGCAGATTCTTGGTATTGAACCGAAGAGGAAGAAACAGGAAGGTGCAGTTATACGCTCCGGCTCAATGTGTCATCTAGTGAACTAACATGAATCACAAGGTGCTCTACCTCAGCCAAGACGAACTCCATTTCTTGAAAGAGTCTGTAATAATGTTAACCTCTACTTCCTGGACCCATCAAATAGTAGATGTTCATGATATACAGAGCTAAGGTTGACTGATATCTACCAAAACATTGAAATCTTGTGCTTTCTTTCTTGATGTGCCTTAGTGTTAAAAGACATAACATCTCTATGAAAAGGCATCAAGATATACTTAGGTATCACAGCTAAACTCTACCATATCATAAGCAGGCCTGATGAAATCTCATCTTTTGGTTATGTATGGGCTGTTACAGATAAGGTTGGACTTGCTGGTGCGAAGAAGAGTGAATAGATATTTCATTAAACAAATTAACTCAATGACACAAAGGATCACAGTATTTGGGATGGACTCATTGGGGAGAGTCTTTCACACATCATTACCACTTCAAGCACGCCTTTTCAAAGGGTGTTGCGTGATTTCATACCTTATCAAACCGACTATTTTTTTTTCACTCCAAATCATTTTGTTGAAATCTTTGTAATCTGAACAAAGATGAAAGAAATAGTTGCATCTCAAACTTCTTTTCAAAATTTATAGCAAAAGGCTTCTCTACAGTTATCAAGCATTCATAATACTAAGACAAGTTCTCCAAAATGGAGCATCTAGAAGTCTACTATGGCTTCACTCAAAGACCGGAGGAAGAAAACCGTGATAGCTTAGAGAGAAAAAAAGAAAAAGCAAACCTACCATTTACTTAACCTTTGACAAGATCCCTTGCATATTGCACCCACCTATACATGAAACATGATGCATATTCTCCAAGGGTCTTGATTACACCTTCGCATCCTAACACTGTAATTATGTGCTCCTATTTACGCATCAGCTCTATAAATTGGTGATTCCTTGAGGTACGTGACATACTGCGCTTGTACAAACAATTCTGACCAATCAGCATTAACACTGATGGGACTTTCTTGGAAAGGCTAAGGTGAAGCGGCCCGCACTGGAATGCCTGTACAAGATACGGTTGACTACATTACAAGCAGTGTCGCTCACACACACAAAACAGAAGTAGCCCAAGTTGAGGTGATACTCTGCTGCGGACTGTGAGCGAGTACAGCAAAAGGTTGCTTAGACCAAATGGGTTATCGATGAGGAACTGTCTAAGAACTGCTAATAAGCAACTGATGCCCCTTGAACAAAAAAAATTCAAACATCTGAAATCCACCATGTAGTTCCTATAATTAATGTCTGCTCCAATCTTTGCTCAGTGGGACATGGTGCTGAGGCAGCGTTCATAAGCAAGGCCAAAGTATGGTCTTTTGTAAACCCCCTGCTTGTGGTTGGTACCCGGGTACACGTTGATGTTCAGGATCCAGTTGCCTCAGGTAGCAATTTCTATCCGTACCTCAGGGACATCAGTGCTGGGAAACATCAAACAAATGACAAAATATTGCAGAAGGCCGATGAACCTGCCACGTAGGAGTAAGCGTCTTGAGAATATAAAACTTGGGTACAAGGGAAATAGTCACTAATGTATATGGAGGCTACTTTAGACCCCTCGTCAGTTTGTCCTTGTGAGCCAAGACATTCCACCTCCTTCGGTGGTGGAGAAGTTGGGATCCACGGAGGATGTTGCAAAAATATCTGAGGTTGGCATCCATCATCATTCCCGCTATCCCGGGATTCATGCTACTTAAGGAAACAGATCCTACTGATGCCTTCTCTCCTCTTTGCTATGCACACTTGGCAAGAAAAGGCTAGTATCAACATCTTCAATACATGGAATAATCACACAAGCTCACGATCATCCTTGTCATTACAGATCCACAATCATGGCTCTATCCGCAACCAAGATTGTACCTACAGGGCTGTTCAGTAAACAGCCTGAAGACCTTTCTGCTCTCTATCCCATCATTGACAAGGTGCGCTGGTGCCAGCAGCTCATTGGCTTGGCCACTTTCCGCTTGCTCGCCCGTGCCTATAATGCCACCACCACACTCGCAATGGCTTGCTTGTGGCTGAGCAAAACCATTGTCTGGAGGTCTTTCATCTCTTTCCAGAATCTGGTCTCAAGAACCCTGGAACTTATAGGGAGGCTTTCCTGGGTACTGTGGGACTGCAAACAGTCAAAACGACTCCGCAAACGGCTCGAGTTTGAGTTCTTTGCTCTCCTACTTGGGCCCAGTGGGAATGCCTTGATTTTGACGCTCTTCTGGCCCGGGTGGTACATCCTAGCCTTCTTGTGTTGGATAATCCGTCAGTTTTCTGAGTGAGCAGAATAAGTAGTAAGTAAAGCCGAATTATTGCCAAAGCACAATGCACACTGCTCACATCTTTTTTGTCAGTGATTGACTAATAATCTCACATTGTCTAACAGTTTGCTGGAGTTGGCAATCCACTAAATGGTACCAAGAAAGTGCCATAAGAAACCCAGCCAAACATCCTATATGGGCTCTCATTTTGCGAAAAAGAATGCGTTCCCGCCAGGGTCCCGCCGAATCTCCTTGGAATAGTCCTTTTCGGGGTCGAATTCTTGCCATACACTCGCCGGGTAGATGTGTTTATTACGCTGATACCACCGTCGATCAACCACTTTGGTAAAAGTCGGGTCATCTGATGCCCCTTCGAGCTGCGAGATATCAACCTCCTCGCTGTTGATGCCGCCTGCACTTGTATTGTCTAAACCTGAGACTGAGGCTGGAGCTTCGGTGCTGTAATTGAAGAGGCGTTGATTACCAGGACCCACGGTTTTGTTAATAATGAAAAAATAGAAGTCGTAGTGCTATACAAATGCCCAGTCAGCTATGTTGTTATGCTTGCAACACGTGTAGAACCATGCTTGCTGTCACTTACATGGGGTATGATCAGGCTTCCTCGGACAAGCATCAAATCGTCAACGCTGACACGGGCCCAGGCTCGTCGGGCATTCGCCATCTTGTCCGCGCCCACGCCTAACTTTGCACCCACCTTACGGCTCTTGTCCAGGAACAGCCAAACATGGTCTCCCTTTTTGACCCTAACAATGCCCCCCGGAATGTTCGTCCCGTCGTAAAACACGAAGGGAATGGCGATCTCGGTAGCCTTGACAGCAGCTTGTATTTGCAAGAACTCCTTGCGCAAGGCTTCCCGTTCAGCAGCTTCTCGGCGAAGTGCTGCCTTTGTTAACGGACGCGGCACAATACCGACAGATGTATTTGCTGTGATCTTGGACGTTGACTTCTCGTTTTTATCATTTTCTTTGTGCTCGCCGACGGCAGCATCGACTGTGTTACCCGAGGATTCGTTGGCAGTGCCATCAAGTTGGGTTCGATCCTCAAATTTGGGTTTCTTGACAGTCGTTTTGGTGGCAACAGTGTCAGATCCATCTCCGCCATCTTCGTCATCTCCAAACGAGATCAGGGCCCTGGTACGCTTCTTCTTCTTTGGGGGCCGTTCTCGGTCGCCATTGATACTGTCACTTGCATTGCTTGGAGTCGCAGTTAAAGAGCGGTCAGGGGTCGCAATGCCAGAGCGCGCAGAGAGAGCCTCACGCGCTTCGCGCTCTTGCTGTTCGAGAACCTCGGCGCGCCGCTTGCGGAAGTCTGACAAGGCAACAAGGCCGACCGTGTTTGTCGAGAGTAGTTCGTGCGTAGTTCTATTTTGCGGGGTAAATCGAGAGACTTGCTCCGACATCCTCAATTAAGTGCAAAAGACGTTGGGTGAGTGTTGCTGTCACTGTTGGCTGAATGGACATGGATACCGCAATACGACAACAGTAACTTGCACAGCGCGGTCGCAGGTGCCCATGTCAAAGGGTAGCGTAATGTTACGTAAAACAAAGCGTATTGATACGGGGCCATATGATTACCCTGAGGGCACAGACAACGTGCCACGATATATTTTGCTAGCGTCTTGGCGAGTTCTGCAGCTCTCTGGGACACTTCTGGGGGAAAATCCTGTCAGGGAGCTAACAAAACAAACCGTAGCACATCTTGTACGTATATGTAATCCGCAGCTTCAGCCCTCCTAGTCTACAGGTTGGTCAAGGTTGGCTGGCGGGATGCAGTCCGACGGGACGTCATAAAAGCGGGTCACAGGGACCAAGAAAGCATGGATGTGGCGACCTGAACCTCCTCTGCGATGTCTTGTGTACTTAACCAACTTTAACTTGCTGTAGGCAGACTGGTAGCTTTTTCGTTTGGTGTTGGCCGACATGCACAGGTAGCCAAATCTGTAGACAGAATCCGTAAAGTATATTGATATTCATCCAAGGTCCTTGAGTTTTCCCCGAAGATAGCCACCCAAACTCTCAAAGAGGGCAAAGTCATGACCTTCTCTCCATAGCAAAGTGACGCATGCCTCGCTCCTACAGACCAGTACCTCAATTCCAAAACCAAGCCGACATTCTTCCGGCTTAGCTGCCGAAGCGCTGCATTGTTTTGACGTATCCTCTCTTGCATGCTGCTCATGCAACTTTTTCCTCCTCCAAGCTCTCCCCCAAACATTTTCTCTCGCCCTCCCAAAGCCTCTCAAGGACTCGGGCTCCCAGGACCACGAAAGAAGTTCTAAAGAGCCTAGAACTTCTTGAATCCTGGTAACTACCCGCCCGATCGACCGGTCGGTGCTTGAGACCAACAGCTTTGCGGTTACAGGAGGGGGAAGCAGTTTCCTACCAGCACTAGACTTCATGCCACGTGCTGCATTCTCTGCGGGACGCATCGGCCCAAAACTCCATCCTAGGGCCCATCGCCGCGTCTTTGTCCCCTGTATAAACTCAGTCACCGCATAATTGTCAATGCCATGTGTGCGCAACTTCTCAACAAGAATCTCGAGGCTGCTGAGCTTCCCAAGCATCGAGGTGTACCAGGAAACACGCTCTCGTAAAATGAGTGACTCGCTGAGAAGCCTGCAGACATGGGCAACTTCACCACCGTCGCAAACCATCTCAACGCGTGCGCCAGTACAAGCTGACATGGGTGGCCGCGATTTTCTTTTAGCCGACTCCAGCATGTCGTCCTCTGAAGAATAAAATGGCGGGTTCATCATGACAAAGTCAACTGACTCGATCCCAATCTCGCCGATAGGCACCAGCTTATCCTCTGGCTTCCGCTCCAACACTCGAATGCGATCCTGTAGTCTGTTAATTTCGATGTTTTTCCGGGCATATTGTATATTTTTGACATCAATATCTGGAAAATGTCAGCGCTTCGGCTTCTGCTAGAAGCTAAATGTAGAAACCTACCGGTCGCGATAAAGGACCACGGTCGTTGAGCAGTTCCGAGTAGGGGGTAAATACAGCTTGCGCCAGTTCCAACATCTAGGCCACACAGCGGCCGCCCTGGTTGCTCGTATGAGGTTGAGTCCATTAGATCTTTAATCCATAAAATGTAGTTGTGTCTATTCGGAACCTGAAAGCTTAGTTAGACAGGGCCGATTGTGCATTGCAGAACCATGTACGTACTGGAGGGCAAAGTCTATCCCTGGGCAGATCTATCCGCAAGCCAAAGTCAACCTTCAGCAGAGTTTTCGTCAATTGCATCATTGCATCTGGGTCCGTGAAATTTAATCGCCCATTTTGGACGCTCGAACAAATTCAGTCAGTCAGTGACAAGAACATTGAAGGGATTCATGCAAAAACTCAGTCTTACTAGGTAGCAAAGTCAGGATCTTGGACGGCGAGCTTTTTAAAGTCAGGCTCGGACGTATAGAGGTTCCGAAAGTATGCGTCTAGATGAGGGTTAGGCTCCCAGCGCCGGGGAACCGGTCGACAGGGCTCCGCCATATTGGATACGGACTTGCAATCCGGCGAAGTCTGCAAGTCGCTACCAGGCCCCTTACCTGACCAAGAATCCGAAGCATCATCGTCCTGCTTTCTCTTGATCCCAGACGCCATGGTTCAAAGAGTTTTGACATAATCTCATCGAGCTTTTGTTCTTGTCCATCAGCTTCCCTCTCCAGTAATGTCAATGTTTACCTCCTGACTGGTGTCCCGATCTAGGATGGGAACTCTGCCAGACTGGTACCTGTTATGTGTGAGGATGGCAGTTTGCAAGGTCCAATTGACAACTAGGTAAACACATTCAGGGTGATCTGGCAAGTGATACAGAGGAAGGTGAACAGAGTACCTGAGAATTACCCGCAGTATTGCCTCTGCCAAGCTTTGTCACGTGAAACCCATGTGAGAAACTCCGGTATTTACGGCAATGCTTCCTGCAGTGCACGGAGAAAAGAGCGCTTCCCAAGTGCAACCATACGTGCTCTGATCACTGCCAGCTACATCCACCCATTCTCTCTGTCAGAGGATCGAGGACTGTATTTCTGCTATGAGGATCACTGGTGACGAATGTGCCTTTAGGAAAGTAGCACGTTCGAGTAAGCACTCTTTAAGACAGGCAAGTCTTCAGTGCAATGAGTCACAGCGCCTTATCACTTGTATCTCCTTAGCGCTGGTATACGCACCTCACAACTGGTGCGCTGCTACGGCTACGCAATGTGAGCACAAAGCACGTCATGACTATATGGTATCTCAGTTTTTTGCAGTTTCACCTATTGAAAGACATGGCAACTCCGGCTTGCATGGAGCTGCGTCAGCATATCCTACCCCTGCGCTCGGTACAATGCATCCCCTCAAGCCCTTGCTGCGATGAGGGGTGGATCAAATCAAGTTCCAGGCGGTCAAAAGTCCGTCGCCACTGGCTCAACGCTGAGTTTGTTGATGCTGTTTAACACAACTTGAAGAGTCTAACAAATGGACAACTGCGGAAGGCCGAGTTGGGTGCTACCCTGTGCTCAAAAGTCCGGAGGCAGCCCTCTTCCTTTCTCTCACATTCCGGTAGCATATCTTAATACATGTGCGCATCCCTCAGTCAGAAGAACGGGTGCACTGCATAGCACTTCCAGGTGGAGAACTGTAATTATCCAACTATCGTGATCCACGCTCATCAGGCAGGATAACAGAGTCGGCCAGGTGTAGACTCTAGGACGTCCCATATAGCTAGTGTATTGCGCTTTTCCGAGCTGCCGCAGCGTCTGCCAGTTGCACCTCTTGGCTGATCATCGGCGACGGTTTAGTCCCTAGTTCTCCAGGCCATCCATCCAGCAATCGCCGATTATGGACTACATGCCGGAGTGTCTATATGCTGGATTCGTGACAACTCGTCTTCTTACAGCTGAAGGAAGAACAGAATTATCGATAGAAGGGGGTTTTGGGCTTTCATCAAACGCGCTCTCCAGCCTCGATGGGCTGTTAGTACCAGTAGGCAGCAACAGTTACCTATCCGATCCTCTGCAAGTTCAAGCAAGGGCTGTCATCAAGGAGGGGAAAGGAGGAGGTATCTCTATCAGTGACTCCCTGCAGTTCTGACCAGGCTGCCAGCATTTAAAAAACCAAACAGCCATCCCATACCTACCAACTTTTCGTTGTGAACTGTTTCTCATCCTCTTTTGGCAATTCCCAATTGCAGCCCTCCCACCCGTAACCTACGCAGCGCTGAAAACAAGGCCAGCTGTCATTCTGGCCAGTTACTGTGCCTTGAGTACAAAATACCTTTTGAGCATTGCTTACGGGTACGTAAACATCGTTCCTTCTGGCAGGCTTGGAAAGCAAGTTACCCCAATCCTCTCAGCAATTGCCTCCCCCGCCAGAGATTCTTATATCCTGACTCTTCCACCAACTTCTCTACACAGTTGGCTAATGCATGAGCAGACATCCGGCTGTGCATCACAAAGTGGTCTTAAAAGCGCCGACCCCTGGACTCTACCCAAGGGAGCCGTGGATATCGGTCACAGCCATTCTCAGCTTGGATTCTCCCGATGGTAAGTGATACACAGTTTCCACTCCCCGTTTCCTCAGCTCTCAGCACTACCTGCTTTGATCTCCCAGCCCTTCGACACATGACTTTTAGTTTTGAGCTCTGGGCTTGGCTATGTCTGGCAGAAGGAGTAGCGAGGATAGAGCAAACTTACATTGTTGGACTTCCATCCTTAGACCATTATGTTCTGCTTGATTATCCGCGCACTAGCCACACATATCTACCTCTTGGCCGAGGCAGTTTTCACAGAGTACGCCCGCTAGGCCCCAAGGACGGTTCAGTCTTTGGTCATTCCTGGGCGCTGCTTATAACGCCATTGCTTCGATTGTCTGCTTCGATTATCTATTTTTCCAGGAACTCTCGGTGACTACAACTAGCGTGTCCAAGTACCTACCATTAGGAGTAGACACCGCATTTTCTCTTACCCATTGCCTTGGTGCTTTGAACGACTATGGAGTCGGGGGACACGGCATCAACCGGTGTGCGCGAGAACACTCCTCCTGCTCCAGCAGGCAGCGAGGAATCAAAGGTCCCAACCGACGTCACACAGCCAACGAATGGTGAAACTCAATCGGCAGACCGGACTGATGCTGCCAAGCACTCACCGAAGGAGAAGTGTTCCAAAAAGCGTTTTGCGCCAAAAACCAGGCACAAAAAGCCTAAAACAACAGCTTCTCCTGTTCGATCCTCTTCAGACCTTGAAAATATCGACAGTGAGGACAAAACATCTTCAACCTCAAATTCACGAGAAAACAGTGTTTCTGAGACTGAGACTGTCGAGAGCAAGCGGGTGGCCAAAAAGAGAGACGACTCCCACAAATCGAAGAGAGCCAATGCAAAAAAGCAGAAAAGGTTCTACAAGACTCGAGAGTCGGTGGGATCAGGTTCTAACTCTGAGTCGAGCTCTTCAGATAGTGATCAGAGCTCGGAAGATAGAAAGGACCAGAGATCCCAAGAAAATATTATCAGGCAGCTACAGCAGCTGAAATCTGTTATCCAGAAACAGCAGCAGCAGCAGCAGGGAAATTCTTATCAGTACTCTGCTGGGGTTCAACATTACGGAGCCACCCTTGCCGACATAGCACAACAAACGGTTAACGAGAACGGCCTGCGCAACAGCTCATCGCGCAGTCACCAAAATGGGCAACCTTCGTCAGGGCTGTTGAACCCGGCCTTGAGTGTCGTAGATACTCTCCTCATGCAGGCCACCCAGCAGCTGATGGAACGGAAGAAACAACAGAAACCCACAAAACTTGATTACAAACGTGTTGATCAAGTGTGGGACAACAGTATTCATAACTACAAGCTACAGGACACGGCGGAACAAGTAGTTGAAAATCATCATGATGAGTTTATCTTCCACGTTCGCCGCACATTCGACTGGGAGGGGAAGTACAAGGCAACATACGTTGACATAAAAAGCAAGCTTCTACGAGAATGTCTCCAAGCTGTTATGGGGAATATCAAGGGGGTCAGCCTAGTTGAAGAGATTCCCAAACTGGATCCTAACATGCTTTTCTTGTAAGTTTCCATTCGAACTGCCCATGGTGCCGTTTCTGGCCTCTACTAACAATGAAATCAAGATATTTAGAGGACTTGAGAGAGTATTTGAAGGAGTTAAAAAAGATTAAGGCAGCAAAATACGATAAGCGTGAGCGCAAGAAGGAACAGAAGAGGACAGAAACCAAGCACAAACATCTTAAGGTTCTTATTACATATCTAGACAAGGACTATGCGGAGGTCAAGAAGAGGTTCGCATACTTTCTTCTGCCGATTTGTTCCCCTTACATGTCCTAGTCAGTTATCATACTAACCCATAACCGCTAGTCTTTATCCCATGTTGGAGAACGGCCTCATCACTTTCGACCTTCTTTGGGCGCTTTGGAAGCCAAACACACTCGCATTCACTACGACCTATGGCTCACATGATGAACCACGAGTATTCAAGGTTGAAGTTGCTGAAAAGCACTACGGAATCATGAGGGGCAATACTATTACCTCGATGGCAAGGTATGGAATGCCTATTTAAAAAATACTAGTACTCCAATCCTGTAAAGCCTAGAGCCCAGCTGCATACTAATCATGAGGAACCAGTATTTCGAGTTTGATGGGAGGCAGTTTGGCTATGGCAGCATGGCAGAGGAGATTGACGAATTCCGGGGGGCACGAAAAATCACGAGTCTCCCATGCTTCCCTTTGAAGTACCACAAGGACGAAGCTCAGCTGCGCAAGGAATTAATCGAGCGCGGTAAGAAGTTCGTCGCCCTGGCTGGAGTTAACTACAAGAGCCACCAGGGGTTGGCATACTACAAGAAGAAGAAATCGATCATCAAGGTCAACATCAACGGGCGCATCATGGTTGATCCTGCTGTCCACCGCCGAATCAACCCGAATTATCCGATTTCTCACGTGAGGCCTAAAGAAAACGAGACCCTCATGGATGGTGAGGACTCTAATGAATCTAGCTGCTGCGGATGTAACCCAGGGGAGGTGGAAAGTCAAATGGTTAAGCATGTGACTAAGCTTGCTAAGGATGACAATGGCAACGCACGAGTTGTGGTTGTTCAAGGGTCGTATGACGATGAGAAGGCCGGTTCAAAAAAAAGCTAGACAAGGTTCCTGCCAAAAACGACGAAAATGCTGCTGCAGGGGAGGATAGGATGACGAAAAATATCCCCGAGTTCAGCGACGAGGAGTACCTCATCGCATCCCCTGTTGTTCTTGGATTCGCCTTTGCTGAGAAGCTCTGGCTGGAGTTTACCGTGTCCGGCGTCAAAGATATCCAATGGAACGAGACAGCTTATGACTCTTTGGTGCTCGAGCCCAAGACCAAGGACATTGTAAAGGTATGAGAAATTGATGGGACTTGTTCTTTCGGCCATGCTGTGTCACTAACCATTCCATCCCGATCTTAGGCACTTGTCGAGTCCCACAAATACCACGCAGCTGAAAGCATTGACGACGTGATTCAAGGGAAAGGCAAGGGCTTGGTGGGTAAGTGTAACAAGTATTCCCAAAATTGTTCGTGGCCCATCCCCAGGGACTATGGCTGACTTGCAATAACTTAGCTGTCCTCCATGGCCCGCCAGGGACTGGCAAGACACTAACCGCGGAGGGAATTTCAGAACTCCTCAAGTGCCCATTGTATATGATCTCGGCAGGCGAGCTGGGAACAGACTCGCGGTTCCTCGAGAGTGAGCTCCAAAAAATCCTTGATATTTGTCATGCCTGGGGCGCCATCCTTTTACTGGATGAAGCCGATGTTTTCCTGGAGAAGCGAAACATGCATGACATCCACCGTAATGCGCTTGTTAGCATTTTCCTTCGGCAGCTTGAATATTTCCAAGGTATCTTGTTTCTGACAACAAATCGGGTAGAGGTAAGCAAGCCCTAACTAACAATCAACTGGTGGAAACACTCACGACTAACATATCTCTCCCTTATAGACGTTTGATGATGCCTTCCAATCCCGCATCCACATTGCTCTGCGCTATGACAACCTCGATTATCGGGCTAAGAAGGCTATCTTCAAAATATTCATTGAGAGGGTTCGAGTACTCGAAACGCTCAGCATAATGCCCTTCACCGAAGAAGACTACAACCAGCTGGCACGGTATGATTTGAATGGCCGGCAGATTAAAAACACCGTCCGCACAGCTCAAGCTCTAGCAGTCGATAAAGGTGAACCGCTATCCATGAGCCACATTCGGCAAGTTCTTGACGTACAGACCAACTTTGACCGGGACCTCAAGGGAGGGACAGGTTATCAGGATGTAATGAGAAGTTATTTCTAGGGTTGCGTTCAATTTTGCTTCCTTTTTGGGGAGCGGCACAATATCTGCATAATCACTTCACAGCAATAGATGCTGTTTTAGATATCCATTACAGGGTCAGTCGTTACCGAAGAGGTGATGGAAGGATAAGGTTTGCAGTTCCTTCACTTAATTTCCCCCTTAACGAGCAGTATGGATGTTAAATGGTGGTATCTTCCAAAGCATTCTGATTGAAATAGTCTGATACACGATCACTTTATTATCTCTTGTATCAACAAGCAAAATCACTCCGCATGTGCTCTAAGCGGTTTGTGGTGCAGCGTCTGAAGACAAAGAGAAATTGACGTCAGTGTGCGGTTTGGCTTTGCTAGGCCTTCAACACAGCGTATGTTTGGTAGTTCGCAATCCGGTTCTATCAAGTTGGGCATGATTTGGTAATCACTTTGCAAAGCTGGTGTTTGTAGCAGCATCGTCCTTGCCGACGGCCTGAAGACGTTTCGAGGCACGTCTCGCTCACCCGGCACGGTGTTTGACATACTGTATTGTAAGTACTGGATATATTATTTTATATTAAATAAACTTGATGTGCATGGTATTTTCTGTGTTCTTTCTGCTATACGATCGCTACCTGCTAGCCTTTAGCAGCTTCAAGAATCAGACACCAAAATAAAGTTTTTTGACTGCCTCAACACCTGTCGGTTGGAATACGGAATACAAACCAAATTACCTACTATTTCAAGCTGCGAAGCCACAGAGATCAAGCTTACACAGCGCACTGTGTGACACATCAGAGTCTGGTGTAAATACAGGAGCAGCATACCAAGGTTACCTTTTAGATCGTCCAATGAGATTTCATTCTGCGATCTCTCATTTAGAGCTCTGGTTGACATGGTCTGAAACAGTGTGTCATGAGCAATGATATAGTTGGCCCATTATCACACAGTTGGTTGTTCATGTGACTGATGCCCATTCCCAAGCCAACATGCTTTTGGTGTCGCATGTGTGTGGCAGGGAGCCAACCCCCTCTTGGCTTTATCTCTGCCCCGCAGTTGTGCGGTCAGCGGCTGCTCAACATTCCGCTTTCCCCCTCCAGAATATTTATCAGGATATCTACCGATGATCTGCACACCACCGAGACAAGTTCAACAAGTGTAGAAGATAAAAGACACACCGTGATGCTTAGTAGATCACATGGCAAGATTCAGCTTGACCAATCTACTTAGATGGAGTCGGCACGCTGGCCGAAGGCATACCCATCATGATGCTTGGTGGGACGAGTCCCGTCACCAACGTGAGTAATCACACTGCTAGGAACCCAGTGAATTCTAATCATACATAAGCATCTTAGTGTCATCCAGGATAAAGTATATACAGAGAGATGCTGACATCTGGGTAATGGTCAATCAGTCCTTCCAAGCCATTACGACGAATCTCTTCAATCGGCCATTCCTCCGGCCCTTATAACTGAAGTTGCGCTTCGCATCCGCCATCTCATTGAGCAGTGTGTCCCCGTCGAGCTCAACACAGAGTTAGTGACGCGTCCACACAGCAAAGTCATTACCCCAAAGGTGATCAACGCTGCCAAAGAAGCTGGTGGCCAGGAGCATGGGGCCTGTGTTGTGTTCTGCTTGTTGATCAACAAGCAGTGGTGGCAGCACCAGGCTTTTCTTGAGCTGTGGGATGCTGGCCTGCATAATCTACGTGCAACTGCTTGCGAGGTCATTGCTAAACAAATGTACAGTGATTCCATGTGCATCTAGTTGCCGAAATTGCCTATACTTTTCTTATGTATGTTTACTGTCCTGAAAGATGCTGACTTAACACGACACCCCAGCATTGAGTCCGAAGAGGACGCTGACTATCTATTGCACTCGGTCCTCCTCAAGAGATATTCGATCATCGTCAATGGCAATCCCACACCGCCGGCTAACGTAATCGAGAAGGCGGTAGACCTCCACGCACTGCTCGTCATCGGCTCGTCTAGCTATCAGAGATGTATCAACTTCCTCTGGCGCGGCTGGGTAGTTCAGGATGAAGACGACCCGTCCACATTCGTATACTACAAAAAGAGGGATGACCCCACGTACATCTCCCATTTCGACCCCAATCGGATGCGCGCACCCGTCTACCAAAATGCGGCGCAAATACTCATATCATTCATCTATCTCGGCCTCTACACAGCCTCCATGAACTCGGTCAACGAGAATGGGGGCATCGACTTTGTCGAGGGCTTGCTCTACGTCTTCACTCTAGGCTTCGTCTGTGACGAGATCACCAAGGTTTGGAAGGCAGGTTACCACATCCTTGGATTTTGGAGTGCCTTTAACGGTGTTTTGTATGGCTTGCTCACTATCAGCCTGGTGCTGCGTTGCATTGCCCTCGGCCACGCAATCGATGACCCAAACGGCTTCCGCCATCACTATACCACCCTCAGCTATGCCTTTCTTGCCGTCAGCGCTCCTATGTTCTGGGCTCGGTTGTTACTCTATCTTGACAGTTTCCGCTTCTTCGGGGTCATGTTGGTGGTACTCAAGGTCATGATGAAGGAGTCAATCATCTTCTTTGCCCTTCTTGCCGTAATCATTGTTGGCTTTTTACAGGCTTTTATCGGACTCGATTACGCTGACGACCAAATGTCCGAGGACATCCGTTTCATCTTCCAATCTATGGCCAATGCTTTGATGCAGTCACCTGATTTTAGTGGGTTTGAGAGGTTCCAACCGCCCTTTGGTTTGATCCTGTACTACTGCTTCACCTTTGTGGTCATGGTGAGTAGTTCTTCCACATATAGCACAACCTCTCTGTCTGTTGTATATACCCTTCTCTTGGTCATGGCTGATAATTAGTGTCGTAGGTCATCCTTCTCAACATCTTGATTGCCTTGTACAACTCGGCCTACACAGATATCTATGAGAACGCTAATGACGAGTATCTCGCCATGTTTGCTCACAAGACCATGAGATTTGTCCGGGCTCCAGACGAAAATGTTTTCATCCCCCCGTTCAACCTTATCGAGATACTCTTCCTGACACTGCCTCTTGAATGGTGGATGGATAAGAAAACATATGAACGTATCAATGATATCGTAATGAACATCATCTACTCGCCATTGTTGCTCGTCTCTGCCTACTTCGAGATGTGTACAGCGAAAGAAATCCAGGAAAATCGTTCTCGAGGTGACGACGATGATAGCACTTTCGAAGAGTGGGAGCAGCTGCAACATGAAGTCGACTTTGAGGCCGACGGTTGGGCAAAGCGCGTAGAAGCTGCAAAAAGCAACCTTGAAGAGGACGCCGCAGTGGTGGAGGTCAGGAAGCTCAAGGAGGAGGTAGAGCAGCTGAAAATGCTGCTCGTATCCCTGCAAATATCCCTGGGCGTAAACCGAAGCGAAACTGAGGGAGAAGGGAACAGCAATCAGTAATGTTATCCAGGTGTTTCTGGTGCGATTTGCATTCTTTCAGGGGCCGAAGCCTACGATGCAGTACTTATTTCCAAGCATACATGGCTGCACCGATTACTAATAGCCAGTCATACGTAAAGATGCGTAATAGAGCAACAGAGAATTAGGAATCTGGTAGTTAGCTCATCCCTTATGCCACATAAATTACCCCAGTTACCCACAAGACCAAGAGTGAGATCCCAAATGATGTCGAGAGTTTTTAACCACTTCAACAGACGTACAAAACATCCCCTAGAGAGAGGACAGCAACAGTAGAGGAAGTTCAGCCAAGGAAAGGATCCACGGATCTCGCAAAGTAGAAAACTGGTAACTGCACTGATGCCTCTTGATAACTTTCCTTTCCTGCAATGTAACTGAACTGCGGAGACGGAGCAAGTGCCGGTAGTGATACATGTACAAGCCGCCCATATTTACCCTGATATAATCCCATTTCCTTTCCCATATTCCTCCTTTTGCGCCCATTATGATTCATTATGTAGTGTACAAAGCACGAAATCCACCAGAACCTAACTTTGTGGTGGCAAAAGAGAAAACTTATAAAAGAAAGCGCTTCACGCAATAACGTAGAGAACAGGGCAAAGAGTAGAATAGGAAACTGAGAAAAACAAAGCCATCACCAATGTCAGACATATGGCATCCGAGAGTAATTAGAAGTCATAGAAAAAGAAGCTGCTGCCTGATGTTGTGATCTAGCTGGGAGCACTTTTCATGAGTCAGCACCATTGGTAAAAGACAGGGGACAGAGGAGGCAGCGAACGAAAACTACAAGGGACACACTTACACTCCACCTCCCATAAAGGCTGCTAGATCATCAAGTTCAAGAAGCTGGCGCTCGAAAGCGGCACACAATTCCATGGCGGTCATGTCAACCTCCGGGGGAGGATGGATGGCCTGGGGAACAGGGCCAGCCGAGGCTGCAGAGGCAGCACCAGGAGAATCTACCTTGACAGGGACTGCAGGAGGAGGGCTGGCAGTAGCCGGAGTAGAGGAGCCAGCCGAGGCGCCGTTGATGGTTGTAATACCAGGGCGCCTAGGAATAGTAACTTCAGCTTCCCGGGATTCAAGGCCCTGCTGAGAACCAGCAGCGCCAGCTTGATCATAATCCATGGTATCAGGGTTGGTCTCGGCCTGGCTCAAGACGTCATCCTTGACCGAAGGTGAGACGCGATGAACGGGCTTGCTGCCCTCGCGAGAATCACGCAGGTCGCGCGAGCCACTATTAACGTCGCGCAGGACCTTGGACATGACATGGAGATGACGCTGCCAGGGGATAACCAGAGGCCATGACTCGGAGCCCTCCTGGCAGAGCCTGAGACTGTCTCGGACAAGGTTGGAGGCAGTGACAGTAGCATCATGAGGGGCAAGACCCTTGAGGGTGAGGTAAGCCACGGTCGATCCCGCAGTGAAGGCGGCGAAAAGCATAAAAATGGGGAAGCAGTGAATGCTGTCCTTATCAGCGCCGAGTTCCAAGGCCAGGAGCGAATGGACAATGCTGTGAGAAGCGGCGAAGATGCGGTCAACAGCCTGAACATGAGAATGGCCAGCCATGCGCCAAGCCTCAAGAGTGAAGCTTTCATCAGTTACAACCTGGAGGATGCGGCGGCGGTTGACGAAGATGGTGGCACAGTTGAGGAGAGAATGGATCATGGCATATGTATAGCCACTACCCATGGTAATATGAAGGTTGATCTGGCCAGGCTTATCGGCCAAATGAGGCGGAAGAGACTGGCGAAGCATATCGATCTCTTGCTCCAACAGTAAACACTGCTCCTCGGAGAAAGTCTCCAAGGTGGTGGTGGTCATCATCTCAACCACATTGCGCCAAGCTTTGGTAGCCAGGACGATGTGGCCAAACTCACCGACTTCACCTAGAGGAGCGGTCGGATCCGGCATGTAAGGCGGCGGGGCACCATTCAGGGTGCGAACATAGACAGGGCTGCCAAAGTTATAATTCATGTCGGTACAAGGCAGGGAGACATCTTTGACATCGTGGGCCGACAGAGCGGGGTGGCGACCAGGACTGCTGGTCAGGAAACAGTCGAGGACGTAGATCAGCCAGAGAGTACGACGGAAGGACTCGTCCTGGAGGAACTGGTCAGGGTCGGCCTGGTGAGGGTTGGTATGGACGACGCGAAACATCTGGGCCATACGGGCAGCCTGGCCAAGGTAGATGTAAGCGCGCACAGCATTGCGGCAGCCCCATTCATGGATGACGAGCAGGCACAAAGATTGGATGTCGGCAAGGCTGGGTTGGTCCAGGCTCTGCATGATCAGGCTGATGGTCTTCGCAGCAAAGTGCTCGGCCGCAGCAGTGCCGCCCCCATGGGCGCCGTAGCGGCGGATGATCAAGGGCGAGTGCCTGCATTGTTTTCGAGTCAGAAAATGGCAGTCAATTACATAACCGGCCTGTTTCCATCGTGAATGGCCGATATGGCCTACGGCCAGGAAGGGGTTGTGTAACTTACCGGGCTGCGGTGGTAAGGAGGGCATTGACCATAGTGGGGTCAAGGGAGGCATTCTTCAGCTGCTGGAGCGACGACGGCTTGTGGAAGACAACACAGGCCGGGAGCGTTTTGTTGATAACGCGCTCGCATTCTTGCACGAGCTCAGGAGTGAGCCTGTCATGGGGGGGACAAGGGATCAATCAGCTCAGAGCCCTACCAGGCAAATTTGGCAGGCAAACAGATGGAATGGACATGAAAATAAGATAAAATGCATCTAGGTAATGCATTCGGCTGAGACAATCAAGGGGAATGGATGTTGACGAGTATGTGTAGCAGATGGATGTGCGTGAGTGTAGATAGGGATGCAAGGTGGTGGTGTTGTGGATGGGGGACAGGGCGGGGATGTTGTGGATGCATGCAGCTGTGGCCGGCCGAGAAGCTCGGTCGGAGACGAAGTATAGCAAGAGCCTGGCTCCATGGGGCTCCGTGTTGATCAGGACAGCGATGGCCAAGACAGCCGGAACAATAAAGGGCGGCGGGGACTAGGGGCTTTGTGCACGGGGCAAGGGAATTAAAGCACGGGCCGGTTGGGAAATGAGGGCCGGGCGGAGAAAGATGGGGCTGTGGGTGGTGACTCCGAAGGAAGTGCAAAAAGGAATGCACCCTTTCGGCGCCTGGGCAGGCGATGGGGGCGGGAGCGAAAAAAAAAAAGGCGCTACAAACGGAGCCTCCGGATGAAGAGGGGACGAGGGAGAGTGGGGGGAGACAGCGGCCACATCAGGCACGCGCATCCACCAAAAATTGGAGGGATTCGCAGCCACGCGTACCCTCGTCGGCAGCATCGGGAGGGATCAAACCCAAAAAGAAAAATATACATAAAAATAGGAGAGAAACGCGAAACAAGAATTGGAAAGTAAACTAAGAAAAAAATCATGACAAATAGTAAAATGCGAAAGGACTTACTTTTCAACAGTGGTTGCGACATGACGCGACACAGCCGACGAGGGCGGCACCTGGCGATCGGCTGAGGTGTTGGCAACAGTCCGATCAGCAGGTAGTGACTCTCTGGCGCGCTGCTGGACGCGTGCAGGCGACACACCATGGCCGCCGTGGCTCATGGACTCGGAAGGAAGATAGCACTCATGCATGCCCTTGGCACAGTTCTTGCAGGGCGCGCGTCCGTTTTCGTAAACGCACTTGGTCTTGCCCTTCCGGCAGCGCACACACGCACCGCCCGCACGAAGGGCCGTTGATCGCACGACCGAGGCCATGGTGGGAGTAGTCGTGGTGGCAGGTGGCGTAGACCGGGGCGGCGATGGTCGACGCCGGTGATGACTTCTGCTCGTTACTGGCGTGATGATTGATGGGTTGAGGGCCGGCGATCACGACCAGATCGCGGCGCCAAATGGGACAGCGGGATTGCCAGATCGCGGACGTGGAAACGTTGGCTTGAATAGAAAAAGTGTGAGCAGTAGTAGGAGTAGAGTTAAGACGGTGCTGCGCAATCGGAGCGGGCGAGCCAACGGGGCTGCTGACAGCACCGGGGGCGAAGGTCAGAGATGAAAACAAGAATGGAAACGTGAAAAGAAGAGAGCGGGCGGAGATGGGGCCGGACTGCGCGCAAGTTAATCGCCGACGAAAATGGAGTTGGAGTTGAAAAAGTTCGGGAATGCGGATGCGGATGTGGAAATGAAAAGGGAAAGGGGGGAAAAAAAAGTGGAAGGGAAAGCGCGCGATCGGGATCAGGTCGCGCAGGCCGATCGACGGGTCGGGTCAAATGGTAAATGGCAAATGGTTCAGTGCGAATACTGAGCGGGGTGCCGCCCGACGAATGACCGAATGGACCGATCACAGGCCGGAGGGGCCAAAAAACAGGCCGTGGGCAGCGCAGTGGGCAATGTCACAGTCCGGAAGTGTTTGCTCCCTGCTCCGCGCTGGCGGGATCGAGGCTGCGCCGACGCAGTGGGTCCTATGTTCTAGCCAGGAGGGAATTAAAGGGGAGGTAGGTCGGTAGGTAACTACCTAGGATGAAGCAGCTGCCACCTAGAGTGCAGCGGCCGGGGGATTAACAGAACAAAATGCGATTGCGCCGATGGATGGAGGACGGATGGCGACGGGATGGACACGATGGACTACACTGCAGTGGGCGGGCGTGTCCAAACTGTGTGTGGTCCACGGGTGCTTAGGTGGTGTGTGCGAGGATGCCACAGCGCTACGGATCCGAAAACTCGTGACCGGTCGGGGGGCGGGGGGTTCGCGACAGGAAAGATAAGAACAATGAGCAGAAAAGGTCAGGACAGGCTGGGAGGGACGGGGACAATATGGGGCCGCGGATTAAAAATGGAGGACCGGGCGGACCTGTGCGGACCTGGGGGAGGGCCAGGAAGCCAGGAAGCCAAGAAGCGAGAGAAAGGAGGCGGCGGCGGCGGCACACTCGAGAAACGAGACACCACAGTCGGGCGGATCGGCTGATGATGCCGGGGTCTCGAGAACCTGAGAAGACGTCCGCGGGTGGACCGTGGGCTCGGGTGGGGCCTTTTTTACTGGGAGGAAGGACAGGAATGAGAGAGGAAGGCAGCGCCAATCTGCCAGAAGCGCAGAAAAGAACTGCTGAAGAGACTGTGATGAGAGGGCAGGCAGGATGGTCAGCCAGAACGGACGGGCAGGACAAGAGCGCGCCCAGGCACGCCCAGGCACCTCTTCTGCGAACGGTGAGGAGCAGCCCGGGCAGCTGTGACTACAGGAAGGTGCGAGAACAGGCGCGCAGCACGGGGCTGTGGGCTTTGCCCGCGGCACTTGGACAGTGAAATGGATCACGACTATGCCAATTGAATACTCAACTGCCGTGCCCTCGGACAGCCCTGAGGGTGAGGTATACGGTCTCGGTTTGTCTGGAGGAGGATAATGCGTTGTCTGCGAATCACCAGTCCATGGACGACGGACAGCGAGCGCTAAGTGTTGGATTGAGCCTACCCTGCGGGCAATCCAGAAAGCACTGAGAAAGGAAGAAACGTAAGCCCGACCTGCTACTGAGAGGCTCCATTTGACGGATGCCCGCACTGCCCGCTGGATCCCTGAACTCCGTCCCTGTGGCTCCAGCCAAACGCCAGCCCGCCCAGCTCGCCGGGCGGTCCGGCCTGCACCACACAGACTGGACTGGACCCATCCCTGGGCACCATGGACCGTCATCCATCTGTCACCTGCCTGCCCTCTAGGCTCCAGGCTCTCCCGTCATGAGCCCCGCCGGCCACGGGCCATGACCCAGATTGTCAAGATTCAAAGTCCACCGGCACCCAGGTCAGACCGTCACACGCCCCACAGGCTCGTCCAGCGATCGTCACCCGGTCTGACGGGCTTGCGACGGTTACTTCAAGTTAACGCGAAGGTGAAGGCGGGTTGGAAATTCCATAGGGTATTTGAGCTTCTGAGGACCACTTGTGCTCTTGTCCCGTCTCTCTCCGTTCCCTTCCTACCGTTCTCCCCAACCCGCCAGCCCTCCCATTGCGGGTGCCCTTTTTTAACTTTGATAAGTGTTTGGCATTTTGCTCACCCTGACGCCGAGATACACCGATGCCTCAGCCCAACGAATCCGGCACAGATCCAGCCGCTGATCGGTAATCGCCCAAAGCCGACACAGCCTTGTCAACCCGTGCAAACAGCCCAACAAATCGCCTAGTTCCCTTGGAATATCCCGCCCACGCCGCATTCCCTTTGTGTCCCCGTCTCGTGCTTCTAGTTCGCTACTGAGAGAACATGGGCATGCTCTGGCTAGAATGAATTAGGTTAGAAACCTCGACTCCGAGGACGCCGGCACAGAGCGTCCAAGCTCGCCGTTGCCGTGCAGTATGCGGACTATAGCTACGGACCACAGACCGTGGATCCTGCTTTCCAGCTGCTTACCTACCTGTCTGTTAACTTGATAACATAGACAGTCCATGTGTGAGTCAATCGGTGGGCAAGCACGCCTTGTTGAAGGCGTCAAGGCTGCCGTCCCGAAGATCTTCAGCGTCAAACTCGTGCGGCAAAGCGCGCTGCGGCTGGAGGCTGGCAACTCCGCGCCCCGTCATCCGATCGACACTCCGCGTGGGGCCACACAAACCACAGCGCCGGCCGCATCCAGTCAAGCAGCTGACAGAACCGCGACGCAACCTGCCACACGCCCGCACAGGACCTGGAGCACAGAGCACGGAGTAGTGTGCACAACATGCGACACAGCCAGGGCGATGCGAGCGCCCAACTACGGTACGAAGCCAAGTATTATATACAAGGGAGGTGAAGCAGTAGTGTACGAAGTACCTACTTCCAGCAAAAAAAGTACGAAGTGCAGAGTACGTTTTATCGTTGCACATACCACACTCTCTGTTCACACCTCCCGTCTGATCTGCGTAGCGCGCGCATCCGGTTCCGTCTGCACGGTTGCTTTGATACAAACGGGAGATATCCTCCCGGCGCAGGGAACCGGGTACTCAATGCGCAAATATACCACATCTGCTCTTTCATACTCTAAATCCTCGGGAATCCTTATGTTATTTGGCGTCGCGATGGATCTATTTTGGAATGTTCAAGGCCAGCATCATCGGTGCCTTTACACCTGCCTACGATATCGTTTCAAGGGACTCCGGGCTGGGCTTTTCCTGCCCCACTTCTCCGATACGCTCCTGACCCGGACGGCTTTTTCATAGCAGTTTCCATGCTCCCCTTTTACAGTCACTCGCCCCGCTGATTATCCTACGAACCTATCTTGCCAACCGTGGCCCCCAAAATAATGCTACTATCGCATGCTAAACTTACCCTGCTGAACATTCGACGAGTGATGCATACTTTTGCAAAGCTATGTCACATCAAACAGCAATGACAATCATTGTGTGGGTATTCTGCGCCTAGTGCGAGAAGTGCGTGCTCCGAAGCTGAAAGCTGGACTGAGAAGCTTGCCAGTAATGCGGGGCTACACTTAGTCTTTCATCGCCGACTCTCCTTCTTTGTCGATTTGTGGGAAGGAAGAAAAGGGGCAAGACGCCCGTATGACACCTGTCCTCGATGCCAAAGATCATGAGGACGGCTTTGCCTTATGACCAACCCACGGCATTGACTCGGGGCTTAAGGCTTGGGCCTATTAGGGCTTGGGCTTTGAGGGGCGCTGCACAGCGCTTCCTATGAGCGGATGCCAAACAACCTGCTGCGGCATGCACTCCTCCGGAATCCCAGTCCCACAGTTTCCGAACCCACTATCTCCGCTGGGACGCTTCAGCCGCCTTTCAGTTCAGATTTTCGACTCCGGCAGCGTCACGTACACGGTAAGGTTGATGGAGTAATCGGTAAGCAGCTAGCGTCGCGATGGCAATCCTCCTGCCCACTCGGGATCAGCGACAAAACATGAAAGCTTCTCCCCTTCAAGCAAAATACTTACTGCTGAACACGTGTATTATGTGATTTTTCCCGGCACCTGAGACAAAGCAATGTGTGAGAGGAACGCAGTAAGCGATACCCCGTACGGCTTCGGAGCACCATGGCAGGCGCTTTTTATGGAACCAAGTAGATGCTCCCACAGAGTGGAGCTGGTATTTTTCCGATCCAAATCCTCTGCGCCGTTTCTTCTCACCTTTGAGGCTATTCGGGCCTCATGTTTTTAGATCCGGCTACATACCTAGGTATAGATGTCTACCACACGGTTTTCGTCATTCTCCCCTTGCCGGACCCTTTCCAAATTCGGGCTAAACTTGTCGATCGGGAGGCAAGTCCAGTTTGTTATGCCTGTAACAAGTGCATCTCGGGTACAGCGCCATTACGATATTCCCAGTGTCTGCCTTTCATCGATTCAAGTTTTTGTTCTGGCATTAAAGTGTTCAGGGAGCCAAGCCATGCCGTGTGCGGCTTTCTGGCTGACGGGCTTTGTGCGAACGAGATTTCTTGCTCCAACAGATCTCGCAGGAAAGCCACCGGGTCAAAGCTCCAGTAGAATTCGGCCTTCTGAGCTCTGTGTTCTGGAAAGGCACATTCCGAGAGCCTCCAGCCAATGAAAAGCTTCGATATTTCAGCCGTCTGGGGAATTAACTTGGTGCATGTGCTCGTTTTACCTGGCTGGTAGTTGTCATAAACCAGGTGGAAAGAGATCACGGTTTGTCCCATTCCACAAGCCTAGAACCTCACATACTTTCTTACGTTGCTGCAATAGTAAATAGAGACCCCAATACCGTGCCAGGGCGAGAAATTCATGCTTCCAAATAGTGAATCGCCTCTATGAATCAAATCTGACTGGTAACACTACCCAGATACCAAAATTTCGACTAGTTCAAAGTCTTTTAGGAGGGACCAGTTACAGTTGGAGTTAAGTCCGCCAGATTTTTCACACAAGCTAAGGTAATCTGTTTATCTGTAGGGTCTCCAGCCAATATCTATATATGCCCTCCCCCTTAAGGTGAGTGACTCTAATCAAGGCATGCTGTCCATGTAACAGAACTCTCGGTACCTTCATCTCGTGCGAAAACAAGGATAGAGGCAACGAGAGTAGCCCGCGGCCGTTTGCAAGAAACTGCTCGGCCTTGAAGATTTCATGCTATTGCCGGCGTCTTGATTTGAACCGTACCGTCCGCCATCCCGAAGTATGCCGCCACCGGCTTTTGCGCCCCGCTGGTAACCTCCAGACCGTTCTTGCCATAAAAGAGACCGATCTCTGCAACGCCGGGGATCTTGATCAGGCGATCAGCAAGCTCTTCAACCGTCCAAACTCCAGGCTCCCCACTCCTGCTAGGCTGGTCCCTGGCATGGAGGAGAGGCGCAAACGGCGCATCAATAATCCATAGACCATTGTCCGTGACAAGGGCACCAGCCTTGCCGGGCAAGCCAGATCGGATACGAGGATTGATGGACCCCATCCGCACGAGCTCATCCAAAACTCTTGGGGCAGCCATCGGGAGGACCTCGATGGGGATTCCCTTCTTCCAGTTGGTACCCAGGCGTGGCGAGAGCTTGCGGAAGTCGGCCACGCAAACGAACTGCTTGGCGCTAGTTGCCACGATCTTTTCTTGCCAAAGGCAGCCGCCGCCGCCCTTGATAAGGTTCAGGTCGTCGTCGACCTCATCAGCGCCGTCAAAGGCGACATCCAGCTGCTGACCAGATGGGAGCTTGCTGATGTACTGCAGGTTCAGGCCAGCCGCCTCGATAAGCTCCTCAGACTGGGATCCAGTGGGGTAAAAGCACATCCTGGAAGTGATCTCAGGCCCCAGGGCAGCAATCGCCTCGACCACATAGACGACGGTGCTCCCGGAACCAATGCCTATCCTAGTATACTCGGGCCGCAAGTAGTCTTTGACGGCCTGAAAGGCGGCAAGGCGCTTTGAACTCTCGACTAGACGAGCTTGCTCCTCGGCTGAGAGCACAGGAGCTGCGGTTGATGTGGCCATTGTGCGCAAAACAGGTGAGCAAATCGGCCCTGAAAAGTAGGATTTTGGCGACAGCGACACCCAAGCACTGTTGGCGACGCAACAAGGCGTTCCTAGAGGTGACAAGGTTCGCCAATAAAGGCTTCTTGGACCTGGTGAGGAGTGGCAATGACAAAGGCCGGGTGAAAGGGGGAAAATACTGTTTGTGGCCAAAGTAGTAGCCGGGTGGGGTCGGCGTGCAAAACTGCCATCAGGTACCGGTAACCTTCTTACCAGTCCTGTTGTGCGCTTAATCAACGCCATGCCCATCCTGCTCGCGAAGGGCTGGGACGAGTTCTCCGAAAAGCCTCACTGTAGCTCCATTCACTCTATCGGGGCCTTGTTGATCATGCCTGCTAAGGCTGGTCCAATTGTTGGACGCCTTGCATCAGAACATTAGAGATATGGATACGATAGAAAGGAGGAAACCAACCAGTTAAGACCAGGAGCCAAAAAAACGCTGAAAGCCCGAGTTCCGGCCAGAGCGATTTGAGCCTGGATATTCCGCGCCCGCATGGCGGGGCAGACAACGGCCAACAGCATACACATCCGTATGCAATTACCCCTCCATTGTCGTCATACTGACTCTCAAGCTTCACCGACAGACACAGGTATCTTGGTAGCTGCCTAGAAGTCCTTCTCATGAAGCTTTTTCGGCTAAGTTAGTGTTGATTCCATTAGTATTTTTACTTTCTAGGACCGGCAGCTTCCTAAATCTCATTTTATTCCCTCTACAGATTGTGACTTGACTGTCTAGTGTGAATCTTGGGTTGTGGATCCGGTTCTTAGGGTAAGGGTTTTTAGGTTGGATTTCCGAGGCACCTTGTCTCCGGATGCTTGCCCAAAGCACTCGTTCCTTGCGCAACTTACCGCAGACACCTATCCATTCTCCTGTCTTGAAGAATGGTTGTGAGCCAGGATCTCGTGATTAACTCTGCAAGTTCGTTACAGAAGGCGTTTTCTCGGGATTGTGACTTGCAAGTCTGACTTCATCCAGATGCCTTCTTGCTTAGCAGAGCATGCAAGCTCCAAACAGCGAGGTAGACCCAAGGTACCGCAAGGCCGCAGTCCCTTGACAACAAATAGCTTGTTAAGTTCATCACGAGATGCCCGGTTAGCATAGCAGAGAGCCTCATAAGTAGCTAGAGCATATAAGTTGGAATCCTTAGGTCGATATCTGATTGGCGGCGCTGTATAGTGCGCTCACGTCAGCAAAGCGCCTAACCCCATTCCATACAGGCTGCGCACTCAGTCATACACATAGGAAGAAATGAAGCAAAAGACAGATAGTAATGTTCATGTGTTGATGAGATAATATCCATAATCAGGCTTGTGGACTTGCCGAGATTCAACCTCTCCCTTAGCTTTTAATTCTCCCGCTGATATCCTTCGTGACTTCTAAACCGAGTTGCACGAAACACACAGGAAAAGTATATCTAGCAAGCCACATATTTTGCTTAACAGCGTTTCCAGTTACGGCCTGCTAACGTAGTTCAGAATGACCTCAACCCTCCGTCAATCTCCCTCTGATAGGTGTATGAATGGTTATTGTCTCGTCATCCCTGGCCTTCTCAATGCTGGAACCTGAAGTCCAGCCTTTTGTTCCCCTTATCCTTTGTTGTTGACAAGTAGTTCAGCCGTTCTTCCTCCGTCATAGCATTCCATTTCTTGGCTTTCTGGTTGTTGCGCCAGACATAGTACGCCTTCACGAGGAAATACAAGACAATATTCATGCAAAGAATGGCCAAGAGCTGCCTGTTCCCCCTCCGATACAATGGCGCATCGTCTGATATCCACTTAGTCATCTTTCGCTGAACAGATTTAAGTTTCAGCCCCGGATTAACCACGTACCTTTGCGGTAGATATTAGAGGCGATGATGCCACTGGTCTGAACAAACATGTTGTAACAGGCTGCAGACACTGTGCGAGATCTAACAGCGTTCGAGTTTCGCGAATTCCATCCGACTTGAATTGGATGGGCTGTACCGACAGTCATTAGTCATTGCTGTCGACTTTTCTTCTGCGAGGCCGGGATTGTGTTGCTGTCAAGGGGAGCCTTACGGTTTGGGAAACTCAGTAATAGTGTGATGACCGCATAGAGTACCCATCTGTTCACCTGGGATGTGTCGACCACATTCAGGTAAATCAGAAACGGTAGCGCCCAAATCTGAGAGGTAAGGGCACAGAAAGTCAAATTCCCAACTATTTCCGCCAGATACGTTATGCCGAGCATTGTGATCACTGCAAGAAGTCTTAATATCGATAAAAAACTCAAGCGATCCTTGGTGTCTTGGCCCGGTTCTTCACTTACTGTGCAAGATTGTGTGCGGCATGGCCAACAAGTTGCTTTGGAAGGTATCAAAACCCAGGGCTCGTAGAGATAAGGTGAGATATTGCCCCGGGGGAACCATTGGGATCTGGAATGTTAGGCCCAAGAGGTACAGTGGCCTAGTATAAAGTATTAGCCTTTGTTGAGGAATATATGGAGACTCTCTGCCCCAGGCCCCTAGGGCTATTCAGTTCCTGGGTCTACTGACCAGAGATCGTAGTCCTTGAGGCTCTGCCAGAGGAGCTTCCATGTAATTGGCTCACGGTTGTGCATGTCGCTCTTGCTAGGGTCATCCCGTAGCACTCGATTGACAATGATAGTTTCTTCCCTGGGCGTGAACCAACCATTTTTCCCGCGGAACCAGCTAGCAGTTTGGCACGGTCCAGCAGGCATGAGCAAGAAAGACATCAGGCCGATAACAAGAGTTAAAAGGCCCTGTATACCAAGATTAGTTTTGGCCTACTTAGACAGCGGTGGATAGAGCTGGCAACGGCGAGCCAACCTGCTCTTTGAGAGAAAGGAAGCAACCAACCTCAATCAAGAACAACCATCTCCAGCCAGCCTGTCCTTCAACGCCGCGCATGTGTAGTATACCGTATGCGAGAAGAGCACAGATAATATCGGCAATGCTCATTGCGGTCCAGAAAAAGCCGAGACGGACCGACATTTCGTGATGCTTATAAAAGTATGAGAGATACAAAATTACCTGTCACATCGAATCTGTGAGCGTTTTCTCTCATTCAAACTACGATTCGGGACATGTAAGGACAGTCGATATGTCCGGTATAAAGAACAAGGTTTGAGAGGCAAAGCAACTTACATCAGGAATGAAGCCACCCTGCAGGAGACCGAGCAAAGCGCGACAGACCAGAAATGACCTACGTCCGGATAGCCAAAACTGGCAGCATGCAACGATACTCCAAAGTGACATTTGTGCCGGGATCCATCTATCCGGACCCATCCATTTGGATACTAATTGAGAGGGGAGCTCGGCACAGAGGAACGAAAGCTTGAACACGGTGTTTCCAAGGTTATAGTCTGTAAGAGGGTGTCAGTCTCCATCTGTTGTCCATGTCGTTGGCAGCTGTGGATTGATGCCACTCCTTCAGACCACGTACCGTTAGTATGCATTCCCAAATCACCAAGAAAGTTGTCAGTCAAAGCCTGATGGATGTTGGCCCGATCAAGCTCGAGAGCCATGAACATGATGCAAGCCCAAGTCATGATGCGGAAGTCAATTTTCCGCAACAGTTTTTTCTCTTCCCTCCAGGTCCATCTGGCAAGGGGGTCGAAGCGATGCACATTCTCCCTACCAAGGACAGCAGTCAGACTCCATAGGTTCTCATGTCTGGATGGAATGTCAACCCCCTCCTCATTTAACCTTACCAGGTAGGTGGTGGGTAATATCGCTCTGCTGTTTCTGGGTCATCGAAGACGCTGGGCTAAATCATACGGTCAGAATCGTCATATTCCATGCTACAACATGCTCTCCCGCTGAGGGAAGTTAAAATATCGATAAAACGCACCTGAGTAGCAGTAGCATCCAGGTCGACTTTCGACTTCTGCCACCAGAACTGCTTCCCCTGAACGACGGCTCCCAGGGGAGGAATGCTGTTAATAGAAGTGTTCGAGGCATCTGGTCCCGATTTGCCGTCCGAGTCCTGGGCCCTCTCTCGCTTAAGAGGAGTTTCCCGAAGAAGTACTGTGGCCATCGTGGATGATAGATACAGAAAAGGCTAAAGGATCCGATTCCCGGACAACTGAAAACACAACTTGGTAATATCCGAGTCTAGACTAAGCCAGAGTAAATGTCTTTACATACAGTCGACTCCATGAAGAGGTTGACTGTTCCACGGCGGTTGGTCATCCTCAGCTGAATCTTTGGGCCTTTAATATGTGTCGGAGGACATGGTGAGAATTCTGCAACCAGGAAGTCTCATCGGATGTATCAAGCATGGCGTACAGCCTTTGCATAATCACGTCTTGATGAGACCTGAAGACGGCGTTCTTCCTCGGGAACCTTTTGCATGGGGTGGCAGTCGAGAACGAGGGAACGGCCACAGGCTTGCAACTAAGGTATTATTGACACCCCAACCTCCAATGACGGCATACAGCATACGGCATCCATCCTACTGGCTACCAAGTAGCCGGTCCGTTTACGTTACTGAAGCCAGCCGTACATGGTAACATCCGCCTTCAATGGTATGAAATGGGAGAACTCTCTGTAGCCTGCAGCGCTCTTGGTCTGTCGGTGTGAACCTGAGCAACCGTCAGTCCCATATGTACCTCCATATACGCGTGATTTCATTGATGGTTTGGGTGGAGTTTTGACAATACGGAGATGCAACGAGACATCCACGCAAAGACAAAAGTTTGCTGAAATATTGTGGTCAAGAGAAGATGCGAGCAACTGTACTCTGACGGCGGGGTCTGTCACCACCTCTAACCATCGTCCCGTCGTCTAGCATTCCCTCGGACTTGACGAGACAGAACTACAGTTGGTAAGGGGTCAAACATACGAAACCGGCACCAAGTGTGCGAAGGAAACAGGGGCGATGCAGCATCCGAGGCAGGAGAATATTGGTTGATTGGCGCAATCTGTATGCGCGGCAACTCAATGGCATTGAGTCTGGATCTAGGCAAGCAGGGGAGGGTGAATGACAGGTTGATTTGCAGGGGGAAAGGCTTCCTGCAGTCCCAGATGCTTGAGGGAGAAGCAGAAGTTGTGCGGTTAATAGTCGCCAAGTCCCATACTGCTAGTGAGCAAAGATTGCGTGATACAGACGTGCTCGTCCAGGCGGCTGACGCGACCTTTATACTTTGTTTCCTCCTAGTTGCTGGTGGCGGGGGAAGGGGGACTATACTGCAGTCGATTGGTCTATCTAACATGGGATAGTTATTTGTACAATTTCCCTGTTGATGGTGGCATGTTCAGTGCTGTGGCATCATCCAGGAGTTACTTGGACATTATCTCCGTTATCACCGTTGGTAATCAAGATCTCATGGAGCGAGCTGCTAGGCTGCTGGGCTCGGAGTTGCTGACTCGGAAGCGAAAGCGAAGGAGATTCCATGCATGAGGCAACTGTCCTACCGCTCAATCTGTAGCCCATGATCCCGTCGGGCACACACCCACTGTTAAATACATAATGCATAGTATATGGTGTATGCCGAGAGTCCCAAGGGCTTGCTCTATCTTATTTTGGGGGAAGGCCTGGGGCCACGACGTGCGCGTGGGGGACCAACCAGGTACATGTGGATTCAGTTATCCACCAACAACACCAATAACTTCCTTTGGCTTCAGTGGATTGAAACATTGAAGGCGCAAGGCCGGCTCCCGATGGCGCTTTGTGCCGTAAAGACCGAACCCACCGGACATGGGCCTGGAGCCACCAGTGAGAGGTGAGACATGATTGGCCAGAGTGTTCCCTGAGCTGCCAAAGGAGGCAATTCCACCTCCGCATTTTGTTGGTAGGGTATTGTTCAAGTTGTTCCATTCCATTCATGACACTTCTTTCAACCCTCAACCCTCAATCAACAGGTACCGAATAAGCTGATAGTGTGTGCCCAGGGGGCAGTTTTTGGGACAGTGAAGGAGTCAAAGACAAGCTTGTCATCGTCGACACCAGCAATCTCTCAGACCCGGCCCATATTGGCCAGTACATGTACATTATGGTTACTCTGCCAACATCTGCAAGCGCCTTATTTGCTCATATTGATCTCTTTCCATATTCCTATGATACACACACTTGAGCCAGCGTGGGATGCATTGATGTCGCAATTAGCGGCGAGAATGAGAGATCTGGAGCAATCTCACCCAGCACTAAAAACCACGTACAAAGAGTATAGCCCATCTTGCACAGTCCGGGTGGCTAAACACCATGCTTTTTCCCTATATATAAAACCTTGCAGTCTCCCGGCATCGTTCAACATCATCAACAGTTCAGCAGAGGATCTTATCATCCACAATACATTGCGTCAAAGACACCGGCATCACCAGCAGCAGCACCATCACCAACATGGCACCCTCGGCGATTGAGGCTGACGATTCGGTGAATACCAAAGGGCCGATTCGTGAGCCCCTTAAGCTCTCTGGAGCACTGAATGGCTATGAGTACTTCGATGTCACACCCGTCATCGGTCGAGAATATCCTACTGCCAATCTGGTTGAGTGGCTTAACTCCCCGAACTCGGATGACCTCCTTCGAGACCTCGCCATTACCAGTGCGTCTGACCCTTGTGCGATAGCAATCACTGCGGAAGTATATAACTGACACTAGTGTAGTCTCTCAACGGGGCGTCGTGTTTTTCCGGGCGCAGGATAACCTTACAAACGAGCTCCAGAAGAAGCTCATCTTGCGACTCGGAGAGCTAACTGGCCGCCCAGAAACTTCGGGTCTCCATATTCACCCCATACTCAACTCAGAACGGGAACTTGGTGGCGATGACCTTGAGATCAGCACCATTAGTTCGGTCCAGAACAAGAAGTTCTACTCTACAGCGACCCGTGACGCGACTTTGAACCCCAAGAAGCAGAGCACTGCTCAATGGCATAGCGACATTGCCTTTGAGCCCGTGCCAGCTGATTACACGTCTCTCCGTCTTGTTCAACTGCCCACCACAGGAGGCGGTAGGTGTCTCTCTGCCGATCATGCAATTTTCCTGGCTCCTTCTGCACTTTGTGTTGCTCCAAGACATCTCGCCGCTAACTCAAGTTGTTCTCCCCGCTCCCAGACACATTGTGGGCCTCTGGCTACGAGCTGTACGATCGCCTCAGTGAGCCGTATCAGAGATTCCTCGAGACTCTCACAGCCACCTTCGAGCAGCCAGTCTTCCGAGATATCGCCGAACGTTCCGGGTTCCAATTGTATGACAAACCGCGTGGTGCACCAGAGAATGTTGGCAGCGAGCTTAAGGCCGTCCATCCAGTTGTGCGCACCAATCCTGTCACCGGCTGGAAGAGCATCTTTCCTGTGGGGGGTCATGTCAAGCACATCAACGGGTTGACGGAAGAAGAAAGCAGGAGATTGCTAGACTGGTTCCTAGAACTAGTCTATAAGAACCATGACCTGCAAGTCAGGTTCAAATGGCAGAATAAGAATGATATTGGTATGTGATACGACATCCAGGGGCTGTGATTACACCATGGAAAAGACTGTGACACATGTACAGTCAAAAGCTGACAAGCTTGCAGCCATTTGGGACAACAGATCTGTCTTCCACACAGCGACCTTTGACTACCTGGACGGCAGCTACGGCGAACGTTTTGGAAACCGAGTCGTTGGTCTCGGCGAGAAGCCTTATCTTGACCCCAATAGCACATCGCGGCGTGCTGCTCTGGCCAAGGTTTAGTTGGCTGGGCAAAAAGAAAACCATGGTGTCGGTTAACTTGACCGTCATCAGTCATTGCTTATAATGATCATATTGAGTTCCTCTACCTGCTGTGACGGTCGCAACGATGCTCAATTTCAAGACCCGATGATGTAAAGTAGTTTCAAAGACAACGTTGACCACTCTATGGCATTTTCTCTTGGACCGAGCGCTCAGTGTCAATCGCCCTCATCGGGTGGCGCAATGGTAGCGCCTTACTTCCCGGTCTTCATGTTCAACCCGTCATGACCACTGGCTGGTAAAGGTTTTGGGTTCGAGTTCCAGTCCGACCGACAACCCCTGGCTTCTTCACAGGCGTTGTTTCATTTGTTCCTAACTGCAGTGATAGCTTTGGTCATCCTGCCAATCACTTGTCATTTCATCAGCATGCAAAGCCCGCGGCATCTTTTTTTGCGACAGCAACCCCACCAACTAGTCAAGTCTATCTCTTGAGCTTTACATGTGTAAATACGCCTACTCTATTACCGTCCTTCTAAACCCAGCTCAGATTAGGCGCCAACGGAATTGAAAAGAAAAGTGTATAACAATCACTATTCCTGACAGATTGCAATCCCGGTATAGCATCCGTCATTGCTGAGCAGTGCTCTCTTTGACCAACTGTCTATATCTATACTGTAAAGGCTGTCGCCCAAGTCACTCACGAGAACTTGACAGTGCTCCAAGTTGAGCTCAACCCGATGAGCTAAAATCTCTGGCACGCCCTTGTTATTGCCAACGAAGGCTTGATTTAAGGAATAACCTCTCGGATGCTCGTCGCGATCCGTCCAGTACAGTGTTCGGGTTTCAAAATCAATCTCGGGGTCGATGGACTCAGGAAGATTATCGAACAAGAGTTCAATATCAGACTGGATGGAGGCCGTCTGACCGGACGGAATCCCTATGCCTGACCTGAAAATTCCGCTCCGCAATGACTTACTTAAACCCTTTTGTGTCCAATAGATCTTGCCAGCCTTGGTGTCGACAGCGATACCAACACACCAACTCAGGGATGACAAGAGAGTGGAATCGCCATTGGCCGGCGCCGATCTTTGAACCAAAGCCTCGTGGTTGCTGCCGTCGTGGCCTACCCGATGTACGCCTATCCCTTTGCGATCGCAAAACTGAAGGCGCTTTTGGGGCTCGACCACTACGAGCTTCTTGGGCGTACATACACCCATTAGGAATGACAATTTGAACATCGCTCCCATCCAGCCGAGCCGACATGACCGACCCGTCAAGACTGCGTTCCTGAATGTAGTTGTTTTCAGTGAACGCCACCGTGTCGAAGCCTACACAGCCCATGAGCTGGCAAGGGAGCACTTGCGCTTGGAACATGTGCTGCTAATGCTTGTCAATCTCTTTAGGGTTGCTCACACCCTCCACAAGAATGACAAGAATATCACGCTTGATTGCGGCCCAGAGCCGGTTGGAAATAAACCTGTAGAGGAAGGGAAGGAGCACATGTTAGCAGGCGGGCGGACGGACGGACATGCAATTGGCGATTCGTCATCTGCCCCAGATTGGGGTTCTTACCCGGTCGACTCCTTTCTTGCGGTCACAGGCAGCATGCCACACTTGGACAGGATTTCATTCAGAAAGTGAAAGATGGCGGGGTAGGTCTCGCCATCTGTCATGAGCTCAACCGTTCGGATGTCTAGGGCATGGTGAAATGTTACAGATCAGACGGCGTCTTTCTTTGCTGACTACCTTGGCGAGCATGAGGCTAGACTTAAGGGTAAGCTGTTGGAGCCCAGTATGCAATCAGAAGGGGCCAAACGATCCAGCTCTACAAATGAGTTGATCTTGACCTCAATATTCTCAGGCACTGCTTCAACAACGAGCCAGGCGTTTCTAACAGCTGCAGCCATGTCCTCAATTGTTCCATACGCACCAGGCTGAACAGCGTTAGCATCGCCGGGAATGTTCCTGGCATACTGTCTCTTGTTATCGCCAAGGTACTGAACAGCAGCCTGACGTACCTCGGCAGATGGGTCTCGGATATGGACGCTGTAGCCGCCAGCTACAAAGCTGCAAGCGATACGGCGATCAAGGATACCAACACCAAGAATGGTGACTGGCCTGCATCCAATGACGGGATCTTTCCAGGTCATGGTCGGGATAGACGTTTTGTTGACGGCTGTGTAGAGGAACTGAAGTGTGTGAGAGAGCGAGTCGAGGAAGAAGGATCAAGGACCGGACTTGTTGGAGACCGGGCCCGCTTTCTTTGGTTCTTCACGCCAATGAATCAACAGACGGGCATTATCAACGTCGGCAAGAGTCCACTAATTTATATGCTTCTCGATCTTCAAACCCCCGCACTCCAGAAGCCACGGGACAGGGTATCACCAACGCAACGCACCACGGTTTGGGCAAGATCGAGGCCATCTCGCTCTCGACTGGCAGCTGTCCAAATCGACCGCCTGGCTTGACGCGTGTAGATAGATACTGAGAATAGACGCGGTAGCTATTCGTTCACCGCAACAGCCAAAGGGTCGGTCGGGGTTCTGTTTGTATGTCAGTTTCATTCCGGTCTGCCCGGACTGTGCTTCGCCAGTATGCTTGTCTATGGTGAAATCAGCAAAACCGCAGCCCCGCGAAAAGCCGAAACTCTTTGCTTTCGACGGCCATGGGCTTCATTTCCATGCGGAAGTTCGTAATTTCTCGAGCTCCGACTTTAAACTCGACTTGGAGGATCTGAGGCGAGGCGCGGCGCGGCCGCTTGTCTTGTGATTCACACCCGAGAGCCGCGAGCCGCCGTAAAGAACGTTGCTGGATGAATCGGCAATGATCAGAAACTGAGGAGGGAGGATGTGTGAGAGAGTGACGATGGAGACCGGGAATCTCGCCCGAAGCAAAGAGGCGAGACAGGAAAGGGTGGAACGCCTCTGGCTAATGTAGCTGGGATCGCCATTAACTTTGGACTATGACGTCAAAACCTCCAATCGGCGGGCCGCTGAGGGGCAGAAGAGGGTTTTCTGGAAGGCTCTGGCCATCTCTTTAAAGATCATGTGGGACAGCAAATGGCCGTTGCGGATACAGAGTAGAAGGGGACCCCGTCCGACAACAACAGTTTTTCAGTCCTCCAGATGGAATGCCATGACTTGCTATGGTACCGACATTTATCATCAATGGAGCACACTAAACCCTGGCAACACTACTCTACGATATCCCAACCAAAAAAGAAAAGTCATTGGAAAGGGTAAACCGGGAGCACGGATTTTGTGACAGCAGATCTCATCAAGCAGCAATTACCCAACTGCGGCCGACGACACTAAGGTACTTTTGTGTGGGCCGCCGCCCATGGTGCAGGCGAATACGTTGACAGACCTGGAATTCAAGGCACCGGGCGCCATCGCCAAGACAACCGATCAGGATTTCTTGTTTAACATCCAGCAAACGGGTCCGTCCTTGAGATACTTAGTCCCTTTGGTTGTCCCAGTATGTACGGCCTTAGCAAGTTGTCACTTGCTCATATAAAAAAGAGACTTCATCAAAATGTAATGCACGCGGAACTTGTTCGGGCACTGTTTCATGTACCCGTCGAGCTCCTCGCGGAGCAGGATGTCGGCCTTGGTGTTATTGGCATATAGCAGATTCAATCTTGTCGGGTCCGACTCATCTTCGCAGATTGACCGGATCATCTGGAACATGGGCGTGACCCCTGTGCCGATATGCTTGGCATATCCACTCGGCTTGTACTGAATGGCTCTCTTGGGTCCGCGGATGTCGGTGGTCTCCAACATCCATCTTCTCGAGATGCTTGGTCATAAGGCTTTGGTCATACACTCGACGAAGAGCTGGATACAGCCAAGGTTGCTGCTATTAGAGACGGGAATGTAAGAGCCTGCCACTGCCTTGCCCTTGATAATGGCTCGCAGGGCGATATGCTATCCTGTGGGCAGGCCGAGAACGTCATCGGGGCGCGGCAATGCAAAGACACCCCGGTAAACATTGGGTGATGACAGCGTCTTGCGCATCAGTTTAAAGGGCCTCCATTATTGGGGTTCAACCGCCCCCCTCCCTTCCTATTCGCTCTTTTCCGGTCGTTCTCCATTGATCGTGCCACTACTGAGCATACTGGAATCATCAAGACTGGTACTTGTTGCGCGGTGCTTTGACACTCGGCGTGATGGGTAGCGGGTGAACTCCTGTTGGACATCAAGCTTTTTCCAGGCCCAGAGGGCCGCAGCTGTCGTTGCGCTCACCTCGGCCAAAGTAGTGATGTCAGCACTAACCAAAATTTGGCCAAATCTGCTCGAATTTGGGGCCAGTGAGGGGTGCAGGATGTCTCTGGCCTCAGAAACTGCTTGTCAAGCAGCTTGACAAGCTGTTCAGCTTTTATGTAGGCTTTTTGTCCTCTTATCAGCATCATCGTTCCGGCCCCGGCAGCTACGACGGCGGCAATGCCTGGAAGGCCCTGCCTGAGGCCGCATGTTCGGCTTATTTTCGGAAGGACAATTACGGCAGCTGTCTGGCCGACATCAACACAAGTTGCTCAAAAGACTTTGATGGAGGCAGCGCGGTCCTCGCTGGCAAGGTCACCAGTATAGAGCATCTTGAGCTCATCGTTTGCCTCGATGGAATGACTGACTTCCTTGAACGCTTCAGTCGCATCAATGCCAGCCACTTCGTGGAGGACGGCAGCATCTCCCGGATGGTCATCAAAATACTTGATCACATCATAAACTGGATTATCTAAGTCAGTTGGCAGTCAGATTGCTACGGCCTGTCTGGGCCTTGGGCTAACCTAAACCATGAGTGATCACCCAGACGCCATATGCTTTGTTGCGTTTCTGAACATCGGCCAGTGTGTAAGTAGGTGTTGCGGCCGATGATTCTGCTATGTTGATCGTATCGTTCATATCCTCCAGGGCCAAAATAGACAATGCTGATTTGTTGAGAGTTCGCTGCCAATCACAACCAGGCTCCAACCGGGAAAAAAAAAGGGAAGGTGGAGGTAATTATCTGAACCACAGTAGAGAAAACATGGCAACAAGAGCTTTTCTAACGCCGTTACAGGCAACATCGCGCTGGTATATAACGCCGGTCCTGTCTGGAGCTGCCTGTTAGTTGCTGAAGGTCTCGGCATCTCCTAACTCCCTTCCTTCAGAGCAGAATCCCCATCACCGGATTGATGAATGTGTTGAGCTCAGCCCTTCGTCTCGACGCTGCGGCCCGTTCTTGGGCTGACTCGCAGCCCGGCTTTTTTTCTCGTCGGTCGATCGAGAGGTGCCTGGTTGTTCGGGACCTCATCTCTGACTCTCGGAAACAAGACGCCTGGCCACAGCAGAAACAACGCTGGAAACGTGGCAAGCGTGCAGGACTTTCCACGGCAGGCTTGCTCGCCTATCGTCTCTTCCATCCTCCTCGCAATGGAATGTGGGAAATAGTGCCACGCAGGGTGTCGGGGCTGTCGGGCTGTTCGGATCCTCACCTTCACTTTCATCCAAGCCTCGCAAACTTATCCTATTTCTGCAGTCGGCATGTAGAAGCATCTTGGTCTTTCGGTCGCGATCGATTTCGTGCTGACGGAGTATCGGTTCTCGCTGCCAATATGATTCCCCGATCATCACCTTGCCGTTGTCCAGGGGCAACTCTTTTTTGTCCTCAGATATAGGCATATCTTCGCTGGTGTATCGCCATGCTGTGTGTGCCGACGAGGCCGGGGATGTACCAAGTCTTTGTAGAAACAGAAGATGAACCGCCATTTTCCTTCAGTCATCCCCGGACACCAAGTCTCTTTCTCGAGGTTGAGTATTCAACAGAGTACTCCGTTGTCTCGCCACTTCAACATTTAAACCAAGCTGACCGTTATACCCTCATGGTATCTAAGAGCTTCTATTTCGCTGGAGACTCCCCAAGTACAGCCAAACCAGTGCCATCGACCCTGATGGCAAGTTCGAGTACCTTAGGCGTGCAGTTGCGTTAGCATTGCATGCTGCATTCACCCAAAGGTTGTGGTCCAGCTGATGCCCTTAGATGGTCAACCTAATGTCTTGTCAGTGTCCAAATAGCCGAATATTGACGACTCATCCTCCAATAGGACTCAGTTTCCATGTATTAGAAGAATATGATGCTATCGCAACACTGGCGGGTGTGTTGGCAGTGCCCTGCCATCGCTGTGCGTGTTGACTGGCAACCTGTTCAAGATCCCCGAGGCCCTTACAGATCTGCCGTTCATCTCCAGTTTTTATGAGATCTTCACAGACCATCCCGGGAACCATTCTCAACACCCCCAAAAGTACGGTCGTGTCATCAAAACAACCAACACGGGGAAGACCACCTACTTAACCGACAGCCCTGATGTTGCTCTGGTCGCCCTCACTGAGTCCGCTAATTTCACCAAAAAGATCGACGAGGACCATCCGCTATGGGATATCGAAGACAACATCTCCATTTTCATCAAAAATAGCGAAAATGAGAACTGGCGCCTGACACATAAGTTCCTCCCTCCCGTCATGGACCCCAAAGCCATGAAGCATCACAGGAGTGTGATGCAAACCGTGTACGGTAATCCTTCAATGTATTCGACGAATTGGATGACTGTGGCGAAGCCTGGAACGTGTACCAGTTTATGGCTAAGTTGGCATCACAGACCGTGGCCAAGTTTGCGCTTGGCACAGTTCTCAAGCAGTTTGAGTCCAGCAATACCCCCAGTCCACAGTGTGGTAACGAAATTGTCAACCTGCTGGCCCTCAACAAGATCGTCGTTGCGCGAGGGGAATGGTACCACTTCCTGCCCTTCGGTAACTCCGCGCGGCTCGAGATAGTGCAGAAGACAATATACGAGTATCACCAGTGATACTGGAGTAGACACTCATGTATATAGGACCTAGCTAGCCGCTCGTTCGTAGAAGAACATATTACGTAGTTGCTCAATTGGGCCTTAATAGTCTAAAAGATTATTTCACATTTGGCATTCCCAGACAGCAACAGGAACAGTTAACAACCAACAACTGGTGACCGCAGCGAATCCCATACACTGCTGTGTGAGGACCTCGTTCCCTCAGGTTCTACAACCTGGCCACTACTGACCCCAGGAAGACCGACGCCTTGTATATTTCCCCACGGGGCAAAGGTGTGACGAAAACAAGTATGGACACATCCAGAATCCATGTAACTGGCGGAGGGCAGGACGTCGTGCCATCTCACTCCATCAAATGGCTGGTAGTTACTCTCGACTCACGCCTCAGCCTCAAAGCACAGGTCTCGGCAAGAGCAACAGCCACGATCGCGGTAGCTGGCCTTCTCACCAGGATCTGCAACACTCGCCGCGGCCTCCCCCCAGCAGCGGCCCCACGAATCTTCCGCGGGGCCGTGGTACCTTCGCTTGCATATGGATTAGTGTAACTGGACCCAGGCCCTATGCGAGCGGGTTCCAACGGCAGACTCGTACCTACAGACACACTGTCAACTTTCGGGATCGCGGGGCAGGTGATTAACAGGACCTTACGCGCTCTCTTCCCGGTGTGGCGTACTATCCAGACCCAAATGCTCTACTGGCTGGTTAGAACTCCGCCGGAACACATTTGGAGTCTGGAGCGCTACAGGTGGCGATCTCGGGCTGAACGTCTCTCCGCCGGCGATCCGATCTCCATTGGACTCGCCGCAAGGCCATGGAATGGATGGTCTCGTTTACATCAGCTGGCACACGGCGTCAGGCCTAGTTCGGTACCCTGGGAGCCAAAACGGCCCGGCCTACGAGCTTGGCTTGGTCTCCAACCAATCTCGCAACCTAAACCTCCTCGAGCGCCACCATTCGATATACAACGATGGTGGGCAGAGAACAAATTAGCATCCTGCCTATGGGATGGCTGGTCATCCAAGGCCTTTTTGGAACTCCCTAGACACGTCCTGGGCCGTTGGATACAGGAGGTTACTGACCATGGAGACTTTGCCGAGTACCATCAACGTTTTGGCCACTCCCCGGAGGCCATCAAGACTTGTGTGTGCGGTCAGGTAGTCCTCCGCGGACACCTCGGTATGTGTCCTATTGCTAGGTGCAGCCCGGCTCGATGCGCGCGCTTTTTACAAAACCTTTAATTTATACCTAAGACGGCTAAACGAGTTCCGTCAATATAGGGAGATCCTCGACCCGCTGACACCAGAACCAATTCCCATTCACCCAGTTCCGCCTCGCTTTTCCTCACCTGCCGCCAGAGCAGACGTAGATGAGGAGTTAGACCCACTTGAGATTGTTTTCCCACAGGCTTTTTCCAATGGGTAACTTCTCTCTTTATACTTTGTAAAGAATATGCCTTTTTCTTTCCTTTAAACCACGCGCAGGTTTCTGCCATTAGGCTTTCCTTTGCGCAGGACTTTATAAGTTGTAAGTAGCTATAGATAGTATAACTATGCCCGCCGGCGTCTTGGGCACGGCCCAGTACTCCAGTAGGGTAGAACGTGGTCGAAAAATGGAATCATCATCATGATGTAATAGAAGATAAACACAGCAAGCCAAATCCCTTTCATAGTTTGCCTTTTCTATGAATATTAAGCAATTAAGCATGCGAGGGAGAATATACTCAGCCACTAAGGGACCATGAATAACCTAGAATTAGAAAACTGTTAGTACTTCGCTAAATATATGATAGAAGAACCATGCTAATACATTAATCAATAACACCACGATATCTCATCATCTCTTGGAAAGATTCGAAGTTAATGGGGTATGGTGTAGCGGTAAGAACAGCGACTCTCAACTACGAGTGCTCGCTAGCCCGAGGTTCGACTCGCCGTATCCGAGATAAAGCTATACTTTGTAATTCCTCAGTACTGACCCCTAAAAGGTTGCCCTGCTCGCTGCCATATAGTAAGACCCTAAAACCCCCAGAAAAAAACTCTCTCAGTCAACACCCACTGTTGAGCCCGTCTTAATTTCTTTGGCTTGACCAAACTTAACGTGGTTATATACATTGCTGATTGAAAAATTACCGGTCCTGTATATATCACTGCAGCTCTTCCTAAGGCCGGAAAGTAATAAAGAAACACCATTGTCACACTCGTAGCCGCGGCCAAATTCTCAAGACCGAAAACTTTACACGACCTTCTACGTTTAAAACCGCTTTACAAATTACCTGTTCTCCCTCAGCGTCGATAATATTTATTTCTTTCCAGGTGATATTGACTTGAATAAAAAAGTAGCCTATATGCTTATCATTTCCTCTATCACTCCAGGACCTTCTGACCAGAGTTTCATTAACACGTGCGTTTGTCTCTTCGAAGATATGGCTTAAAAATTTTAAGGCCTATAAATGATGATTATATAGTGCCTTGCTAGGTTGTTGTAGACAGTTGAATATTTAGGTCACATTTCAATATTTCGCGTAGTAGAGCTATTCATTCAATAGCATTTATTCGACCATATTAGCAATACTTTTTATAGTACGTTCAGAAATCGAAAAGTTATAGCGCCGTTTATCCCAATTGGCCGATTATAATATAGTTCATAACATTGTCACGTTACCTATTGTCACACTGCCTGTTAGAACTAAATATATCTAAATACTACTTCAGCCTTTATTCCTCAGCTTGTCTGCCCATCAGATTGTAATTAGCGAAGTAAGTGCCCTCCTATCCTCACTCATACAGGGCATCCTTCTTGAGACAACCACCCTCCCATACCTACAGCAGGGCTCCTTGGCTCCGACTGTTGCAATGCTACAGGCTGGAGCTAACATCCTGGCTGCTCTGGGGAGCGCCAGGGATGCTCAACTTAGGGAGATGAACGCCACCATCTCCGTCATCGAGAAACTTATCAACGCTGTCTCGGCAGTCGAGAACCAACTCGAATGCCCGCTTGAAAAACAGGCCAGCAAAACGATCATCGGAAAACTTCACTCGTTCCTGATTCGGGAAGCAACGCAGAGGACACATGCTCTTCCTCCCTCTCCTACCACCACTCCTCCGACTCCTTCCGAAGCTTCTCTCCCAGAAGCTTCTGCCCCCGCCATTGATCCGGCCTCTCCCGAGCCTCGGAGCCCCCGTGTTTGAGGAAAAACTGGGAAAGGCAAGGAGACATTTCGAGTATATTACGCAGATAAACTCCTTGCAGAAAAAAGGGAACTAAAGAGATTAAAATAAGCATTGCAGACAGTTGGCCAAATCAACTGGTGACCTAAGCACTTCTGAATCTTTGTAAATACTCCCATGTCTCTAATTATATACCTCAAACCAACCCTGAGTCCCTCTCCTCAGTTGTAGTTATATCGTCATAAATCCTTTAGAAGTATATTCCAGATACAAGTTCAATGTAACGGTTACTACAAAGGCTTGTTTACTTACATTTCCACCTCCATCAGCTTCTACTAACTGCTGTTGTTGTTACAAGCCTTGAAAATAACAAAGATTATCAGACAGCATTTGAAAGGTTTAAATATCGACACTTTATAGCAAAGAACATGATCTTCCACTATCTAGTGAGCTCTGATATTGAGACAATTTATACCCATTGGTTTCAGTCTTTAGACCAATTGTTTTAACCTTACTGAAAATGTTCCTGAATTGGTAAAGGAACAAGGACTATTTGCTTACTAGAGCAGGCTCATTAGAATTGGAGATAAAGAAGATAATGAAAATCATTCAAAGGCTACTTTATCAACCCTGTAGGGGAACCTGGACATCTGTTAAATAGACATGATTACATAGCTATTAGCCTCTATTATTGAGAAACGTTCTGGATAAAACAAAACCTCTTACTTGCAGAAATCAGAAAACACAGTAATATTTATATATAACTTCCGTCAAATACTACTCTTTCAACAGGGAAAAGTTCTGCGTTATATGTAAAAAGAATATCTTCAAGTGATACTACTTTAGCCCTCTGCCGTTGTATCAATTACGATAATTGTATCGGGTCAATTTGACGATATAATCATAGTAAAGTTGTAATCCAAATTATTTTTCAGTGTTGGTTTAGAATGTCAATAAAGCCTTTAAATTAGTGTCTAAACGCAGATTTGTAAACTCCACTTGCTGTTCCTTGCTATTGTATATTATAGAATTGTTTTTGCTACCACTGTTTGTCATTTGAAATATGAGCCTACTGTTTATCAGGTATACCAAGCTTTTGGACGTTTGCGACTAATTTAAGTTCTCTCTACTTATACTGGCTGTTATAGTTTCAAAATACCAGATATTATCAAGTATTTAGTAGTTTGATGATGTGAAGGCCAATCTTCTTGTATACCTTCTGCACTGTGTATACTTGTTGGGAAAGGCTCTCATCTCAGTAAAGGGGATATAAATGTTGTTAAGAATCTTCTAAGACAGAATGATCCCCCTCAACTTGTCAAGTTGTAATACATGTTAAATATATAAACTACTGGTAACTTCTCTTCTTGTATGTATATGGATTGTTGACTGTTGATTTACAGTATAAAGTCTTCGGCCAGTTTTCTTTACGCATTAAAACCAACAAGGGCTATCTGGAAGAGTGCTTTCCCTGCAACGACTGATCGGGGGAACAGGGAATTGTGACCCATCAACGCCAAGTACTCGACCCCTAAGGGGGGGGTGGCGCACTTGGAGTGCATCGTGCCTGGAAAAACCTACTCTGGCCCGGCAGGTCGTCCGTTCGAATCCGGCTCCCTTCACCTCGCACTCACCGGGTCTTTTATCACAATAAACCCCGATATCCCCGCTTGGTCAGCGGGTAAAAGCTACCCAACTGGGCTTCGACCAGCTCAACCTCCCATCTTTCCGCTTGGACCAGCTGGACCAGCGGGCACAAGCTACGTGCGGGGTTTTCTCCAAAAAAAGGGTTTTTCCCCGCGCAATGTACTTAGCAACCTCTTGGCCGCCGTCGCCGTGGGCACGACCCAAGTACCTAGATATGGTAGATAGTGGACGAAAAATATATATACAGACATATATGGAATTAAATCGGGCCCGCTCGATTTTATACTAGTAGAAAAATCATGTTCGATATTTCCACTAAACAGGATAGAAGGATATTAGTTTAGGCATATTATGAATACCGGAGCTATAATGCTACCCTTTGAAGTGTAAATGAGCGGCTGCTCCGCAGCGGTGTGGTAAAGAGCTAATGGAAAGCCGACTCGGCATAAAGCAAACGGTCAATAGACATCCAAGGTGGAATCCAGCCAGTTACTAGTAAGAATGACGGAAAATTATCACTTTCGTGACTCGGCAACGACAATGACGAAGGTGCTTGAAAACGACATTAACTCTATGGCAGATACCAACGAGTTCGTTAAGACTATGTAGATAGAATCGCCCATCCCATAAAGCTATGATGGGGTCTCCAAGGTCAGTACTGGAAACAATTGTCAACCAACAACTGTTGAATGCAGTATATCACGTACATTACTGCGTGAGGAGCCCAGTTCCTCAGGTTCAGTATGTATGTATGTATATTTTTTTCGATCACTATCTACATGCTCGTGTCGTGCCCACGGCAACGTCGGGCAAGAGGTTGCTAAGTACATCAATCTAGGCTTTCCCTTGCGCAGGACTTTATAAGTTGTAAGTAGCTATAGATAGTATAACTATGCCCGCCGGCGTCGGGGGGACGGCCTAGTACCCCACTAGGGTAGAACGTGGCTGAAAATAGAATCATCATCATCATAGTCATCGCCTTCTTGGCTCTGGTCACAGGAGCTAAGCCTCGTTATTTTTCGTACTTGTTTGCACGGATTCCACTAAACAATCAATAGTGCCGGCAACAAAGTGTTACATTTTACTGATCATCATTATAGTCATCATTTTCGAACCTATCACATGAGGTTGTGGAACTGAGACAGGTAATATAGATATTATTTAGTTGGTGGGGGTCGGGGGCTGTCAATGGAAAATACTCGTCAGAGCAGAATAATGGGAGTTTGAAAAGGCGCTTAATGGGAACGATTGGTGGGTGGAAGGGAACACTTTTTTTCACTATAATCACATCCAAGATAATAGAAAACCGTGTTAAGTGCTTGGCATAACATTATCCCTACAGAGAACACCAACTATCCCCATAACCGCCCATCTCTAGGACATGACGAGCATCTCCTTTAGTAGTAAAACAGTTGGATAGCAACAACTGGTGACCACGGCAAGTCACCTATGTTACTGTGTGAGGACCCTAGTCATTTGGATTCAAAGCCTGACCATTATCTTCGAACCCATCTAAGGAAGTATAGAGTCGTCACACAACTATAATTCCAAGTGTGACGATTCCACAACCTCCTGGGATGGGCTCACGATAGTGGCCAGGTTGAAGAACCCGAGGGACTGGGGCCCTCGCGCAGTAGATGATGATGATGATTTTATTTTTCGGCCACGTTCTACCGTAGTGGGGTACTGAGCCGTGCCCACAACGCCGGCGGGCCCTCACGCAGTTGAGTATGGGATTCACTGTGGTTACCAGTTGCTGGTTGACGACTGTCTCTATGGCTGACTGAAGAGTCCTCGTCACGGCTCTGAAGAGGGGTAAATCTTGACTCATATTTATATTCAATGCCTTAGTCTGCCTATCCTTCCGCAGTTACCTGTTTTAGAAGTGACTAGAAGCTTTCGTAGTTATCCTAATGTCTTGCAGTACGAACGGCCCAGTACCTCACTAAGGTAGAGCGTGGCCGAAAAATAGAATCATCATCATCATCATCACTGCGATAATTGTGCTTCTCCATCAGATTGGTCCGCCTCTTGACCCCATTAGAAATCTTCCTATTGGTCGTCTTATACGCCGTCTGTGAGGAGCCGCCGAGCCCATTACCAGCCGTAGCACTAGGTTTCTATCGCATCCAGCTGGTTTGATGAACAGTCATCAGAACTAATTCTTACCGACGAAGACTGGAAGGCCCTTTGTGGAGATAACTATGTTAAGTACACGACGTAAATAAATTACTTTTAGCGAGAAGGGGGTGGGACGAAAAGATTCCCAAGTGAGCAATACAAACAATTGCCCAAACCTACTGCTGACCACTGTGTGTCTAAATCTGTGCGATAAGGGACGTTACTGGCCATGGAGACTTTACTGAGTATCATCAACGTTTTGGTCACCCCCCGGAGGGTATTAAGACGTGTGTGCGGTCGAGTAGTCCACCGCGGACACCTCGGTATGTGCCCTATCGCTAGCCGGGCAATCCAGATGCAGCCCGGCTCGATATGCGCGCTTTTTACAAAATTTCGAGTTATAACTAATACTGGTCAACGAGTTTCGTCAATATAGGGAGATTCTCGACCCGGTGACACTAGAACCAATTCCCAACCATCCAGTCCCTCCTCGTTTTTCCTCACCAGCTGCCAGAGCAGACGTAGAAGAGGAGTTAGACCCACTCGAGATTGTTTTCCCACAGGCTTTCCCCAATGGGTAGCTTCTTCTCTCTTGATACTTTGTAAAGAACATGCCTTTTCTTTCCTTTAAACCACGCGCAAGTTTCTGCCATTGGGCTTTCCCTGGCGCAGGACTCTATAAACTGTAAGTAGCTATAGATAGTATAAATATGTCCACCGGCGTCTTGGGCACGGCCCAGTACTCTAGTAGGGTAGAACGTGGCCGAAGTATAGAATCATCATCATCATCATCAAGCGGGCACAAGTTACGACGGGTGTTTCCGAGAAAAGGCTTTTCCCCGCGCAATGAACTTGAGCAACCTATTGCCCGCCGTCGCCGTAGGCACGACTGAGTACCAAGATAGGGTAGATAGTGGTCGAAAAATATACAAACATACTAGTTTCAAGAAACAAATGAACGAAAAGGTGCCTGCTGATTGGTGAGACCAGCGTGCTGGGAGAAAGATATCGCAGAATCCGGCTTACCCTTAACAGCCTGCCCTTTTCTGGGAGACATGTCTTCTTTCTTATACCTAATACCTGATTCGTAATATATGTTTCATGCCAAACAAACTATTCTACGCTATCATGACCTTATTAATCACCTGTGAGCCCAGCTCATAAATCATCAAGTAGGGCCCCTGACATCCTTTAATCAACTGCATAGTTCCTGTAGTAGTAGGCCTATCAATATTAACGTATCCTGATAATCT